GGACGGAAGCCTTAGTGCAAAGACTTAAGAGTTCAACTTAACTCTTCGGGTTCTGCGGGACGACGACGAAGAATTCCCAGTCGAGCATAGCAAGTACAAGGTACCGCCACTTAAGGAAGACGACTATATACGAGATTACTATAATAGGGAAGACTGCGGTTACCTAGGTGTTGCTCGAACAATAGAACACATTCGACGGAACTTCGCCTTCTTAGACATAAGACGAAAAGTCTTAGAATACATTAGGAAGTATGTTAGTTGCAACAAAAACAAGTCTTCGCGCTACGCGAAGTACGGCAACTTACAATTTCGGGAGCCGCCCGAAAAACTATAGGAAGAAGTTATAATAGACTTTATAACCGATCTTCCTAAGTCACCTAACCCGGTAACAGGAATACACTACGACGGTATCCTAGTTATAGTCGACAGGCTAACTAAGTACGCATACTTCATTCCCTGCAGTAAGACGATTACGGCCCCGTAGTTAGGCTACCTTGTGCTCGATCGCCTTGTGCGCTACTACGGGATACTAAAGGTTTTTATTACCGACAGAGACACCAAGTTTATATCGAACTACTAGAAGACACTTGTCGCCGCAATTGGACTCAAACACAAGCTATCTACAGCATTCCATCTAGAAACAGACGGTCAAACCGAAAGAATGAACCAAAATCTCGAGCTATACCTTAGGCACTACATAAACCTAGCCTAAAGTAACTAGGTAGAGAAGCTACTAATAGCGTAGGTTGCACTTAATAACAATGCCTCCGAGACTACTGGCGAGTTACTATTCTACGCTAATTACGGCAAAGACCCGAACCTGTTTATAGAACCGCGCGAAGGACCAGCATCCAAGGAAGCTTTAGTTAAAGCCTCTGAACTAAAAGATGTCTACGGCAAATTACGACAAAATATTACCAAATCTTAGCGAGCTCTTATAAAGACAAGATTTAAAGCCTTAAAAACGGCGCCTTAGCTAAAGACGGGGGATAAGGTGTATCTCCTAACGAAGAACCTAAAAACTAAGAGAGGAACAAAGAAACTAGATTATGTAAAAGTCGGACCGTTTCTGATCGCTGAGAAAAGAGGCGAACTCAACTACCGACTCGAACTACCTAGGGATGCTAGGGTGCACCCCGTATTCCACGTTTCCCTCCTCGAACTAGCGCACCTAGACACCGCGCTTTAAACGACATTCTACTACGAGTCCTAAGAAAACTAGGAATAGGAAGTAGAAGAAATCCTAGAGAAAAGAGGTTAGAAATACCTAGTTAAATAGAAAGGATACCCTAGCGAAGACAACACGTAGGAACTAAGGACTTACCTCAAGAACTGCTAAGGACTCCTCTAGGACTTTTACCGACGTTAACTATTAGCGTAGCTATAAGATCGTCCTAAAAGTTGTTAGGCAATTTCTAGAGCCCGGCCCATTCGCTAGGACTTATTTTAAGAACACTATAGACCGGCTAAGGCAACGCCTCCGCCTCGACGCCCTCTTCTAACGACGGAAGCAACGATGCCTCGACATTATTAGCAACCTCTAGATTGTTAAGCTCTTTACTAACCGCATCGTCCGTCCGATTTTTAGCAAGTCGAAGCTACTTACGAACTCGAACCTTCTTTTGTCGCCTCGTAGTAAGCTGCTGCAACAAAGAAATCTCCTCCTCCTTAAGCTGCTCTAACTCTCTCCGTAGCTTGTTCCGAGTCTCCCGAAGCCTAATCTACTAAGGAGCAGTTAGGGTTACGTTGTAGTTAGTGTAACCCTTCCGCACGCACTTAGAACAGCGTTTCGATTTCGCGCTAATTACACATTTCGGTTTTGGATCGCTAGGCTTCACCTTTACATTTCGACAACTAGAACAAGGAGCTATTTCTGTACTAGTCGCGACCTCTAATAAGAGTTGGGTTCGGTATTAAGTAGAAGATGTTAGAGGCATGACGAAGCTTATAGGATCACTAAAACAGCGGACCTCTATTACTTAAGGTTCCGAGGACGGAACTAGTATAGAAGGGGATAGTATTACGGACACTATAATACGATTAGTAGGATAAGCGAGTAGATAGGAAGTTAGGAGCGGAGGCTTCCGCTCCTGCAACTAATACGACTAACACTCCTTCGATCAGTCGGATTAGACACTACTAACTAAACTAACCGCGCTGCGATTAGTCGGATTAGTAGAGACACGAATCTCCTATATATATAGAGTGAGCGTTTCTTATGTAGGTAGTTCGTGTTTAACCTAAGTTACTAACCCGCCGAAAGGTCAAACCTTAGAGCAGTCGCTTACCCGACCTATTGCTTGGAACTTACTCGTCTAACGAGCTCTAACCCCCTTGTACCGTAGGTGCATAACAATAACCCTAAATTTAGGCTTAAAACAATATAAAATAAGAGCAATACCTAACCCGATATTTAATACTAAAGGCCTTAGGTTAGGGTTATACGAAAGTAGTACTAATAGCGATAGATCTAAAGCTAGCAGAATAGAAGTCTTTAACTACGGAGTATACTAAGATAGAGCAAAAGACGTATGCTAGCCAAGCCTAAGGACACCTCTTCCTTACGCTCAGATCGTGTATCGGAAACCTTCCACGCCTTCGAGCACCGCTCTGTTCATGGCCTGGAGCCGATTCTTCCGAATCATGTAGAGAGTTGTGCATAGCACGTTGACGACGGTCAGTGCTGCGGCAGTAAGGCAACAGTAAAGCCCGGGCCTATGCGCGGTCAGTAAGAGCTCTCAAATCTTCCTGCAGCTTCCCACCTACCGATATGCTGGCGCATCTTTGCTCCTAAAGGCAAGGGAGCCGATGATGCCTCCAATTCCGCCCATGCCCACGATTGTTGCCGAGCAGAAGGCTCGCTTCCACTGACCGACGATATTCACAGCCTGGTACGTCAAAGATGCCGGGACGTTGGCGTTCGATCCACCGACCACCAAGAAAGCCCCGAAGAATCGAACGCTAGGGTTTGCAGCATATCCCAGGACAGAGATCCCGATGATCTCGATAGTGGCATTGATGATGAGTAAAGGGCCGCGTACACTGTACTTGTCTGAAAGCCAGGACTCCGTTAATCCAAGGATGGCGCCGAATGCGTAGCAAGGGGCGGGAAGACACAGAGCAGCTACTTGAGAGAAGCCGAGCTCGTTCTTCAGTACGATAGGTAGGAAGTAGGCGACCGAGTATGTGACGACAGCACTTAGACCGAAATTTGCAGCAAAGGACCAGACTTTCCAGTCCAACGCAGTCTTGAGGTAACTTTTGAGGGAGAAGGGTGGCAGATGTGCGTCGCCACGGTCTTTGTCGACACGGTCAATCATGACTTGGGCCTCATCTGGGCTCAGAAACTTCCAAGACTTGCTGGCATCTTCGGGAAAGTCTACGATGAAGATGTAGGCAACCATCGCGGCAATGCAGGTGATCACACCCTCCTGGTGAGTGTCAATAAAAGGCTGGAGAACGCAGCGTCACGAGGCGACGTACCCATATGAAGATCCATTGCCATTTTTCTAGGCCTCCTACACCAGTATTCCCCGTCTGCATCAGCTTCAACGCAAGTTAGCTACCAGAAACATTTGATGTTGGGGCCTGAACCTACACCGTAAGCGAGTATGCCCCCAAAGCCACTCGCTCCGTTACCCATCAGGTAGAGAGCAGCGTTACGCTTAGCTACCTCAGCTAGTCTGCGTCAGCATCCACTAAGGGTCGAAACAGCTACATCGTGGGCGGGCGACTTACATCGTACATACCACATGCTCAAAAGGAACAATGCGCCAGGAAAGAAGCCGCCTTCGAGGGCACCGAGACATGCGCGGAAGAGTGTAAGTAAGGCGAAGTTCTTCGAGAAGCCCAGGGCGAGGATGGCGATTCCCCACAGGAAGATTATCGTAGATAGGAATGGCCTGGGTCCAAGTAGCCTACATACTGGCGTTGCGAACGGCTGAACTATGACATAGGTAGGGAAAAAGGCCAGGACTATGATCGAATATTGATTCCCGACAAGCTTGACATCTTTGGTCAAGCCAGCTACGACTGCAACTGGCAAGTTGATGCGATCGATTTGGTTAACGATGTAGAGCAGGCCAAGTACCAGGCACAGGCGTTTGTCCACGCGGCGTCGGATCGTTGGCACCCTTGGGTCTTCGACATTGGTATCGCTCTGTCGAGAAGACTCGTCGGCCTCCTCCAGTCGCTCGATGGCAGCAGCTTTGTCGTCGTAGGACGCCATTCCACCAAGGTTGGCGTGCGGAGAAGTATCTGACTAGTCTTGAGGGTCTGATCGTAGTACGTGAGAACGAGGAGATGCTATCGGAAAGTGTAGATGGTGCTTGACCATATGACCAGACATTAATATAACCAACCCCACACACAGTCGCACACATCCCAGTATCAAAAGTGTGGAGTATGGGGTGAAGCCAAAGTTCGCATGCCGAATATCACCGTCGTGACCGAAGAAAGCCGCACTACCGCAAACGCGTGAGGGGAATTACGCGAATTGGCTGGATACGCTCTGTAATGAGTTCCTTGTGTCTAACGTCTGCGAGTTACGCCACGGCTAAGTCGGGGCCGAGATTGCGAGAACGAGCGTTGTGCAGACTGTAGCAACCACACAGAGCAAGTCCCAACAATGCTCTACGATCTCCTTCGCCAAAGACCCTATGTACGCAGTAACGCGTGCTCGATACTACTCCAGAGAGTTGTTCATGCATTGAATAAGCATGCCGCCTCCCGCTGAGCAAGGTGGCTCTTCATGGATCGACTCATGTCTTCAACGGACAGAAAATCACTTCAAAACCCTACTTTCGGATGAAACATTACGACTCCCAGAGGTGTTGGCCCAACATGCTGGGCAGGTCAAATTCACATGCACAGCCTCGCTAGAGAAGCCTGCTTTTCCTTGCCCGTTCCAGCAGACCGAAGCAGTAGGAGTCCTGAAGGCTCTTGAAGGATGTGCTGCAGCTGCCATTGCCGACGTCAGGTATGGCTGTGAGAAACGGAAAATCACAATCGATCTGAACCATTGCACCCGCTACCTACTCTCAGGATACCTAGTCACGGTGGATGGGGCTCGGAAAGGATCTCCACCTGCCACCGCTAAACTCAAGAGTGAGCGGCTCGTCCAGTCTTACTTCTTCCCATGCTGACATCTGGCAAGACACCGACCTTCATCAGGCGCAATCGATCGTCTATAGGAGCTATCTATCGAACCTGTATGCTACGAGTGAGACAGGACACTACTATCATCTTCATGGGTCCCTCAACCCTGACGTAGCACTCCAAATGCTTGGGCTCCCAGCTTTCAACCCCGATGTCAAGACTGCAGAGCACGCAATACGTCTCATTGGATCACGAGTAGGACAGTCTACGGTAGTTGAGCTGGAGACGCTTAATGAGATGCACAAACAAGCAGGCGTTCAAGCCTTGCGGCGCGAAGACCTGTCAACGTCGAAATTTGTAAGTTTTCACGGCTTGCTTGGATGTAATGACGCCGCAGCTAACGACCCACGAGTGCGACTTGCTCGCTGGTCCCCTATGGGACGTACGGTCTCTCGAACAAGAATCTAAGCCACTTCTGTTCCCAAAGTCAGCACGGAGAGGCGCGAAAATACTAGCAGGCATCAAGGTTTTAGAACTCTGTCGTGTGATTGCTGGGCCTTCTATTGGAAGGATCCTGGCGGAGTATGGAGCTGATGTGATGAAAGTCACGAGTCCGAACTTGAGCGACGTTCCATGGTGGCAAGTTGAAGGGTAGATCATCCACTCTCGTTAGTCCGCATCAACTTTTTACTGACTCCGTGGCAAGCAACTTTGGGAAGCATGCTACCGATCTGGATCTGAGACTGGCAGAAGATCGAATGACTTTCGAGACCTTGCTTTCCAACGCAGATGTACTAATCGATGGATATCGATCAGGTGCGTTGGAACGCCTTGGTTATGGTCCATCAAGACTCCGTGAACTGGCCTTGAAGCGTGGCAAAGGCATTGTCTACATCTCCGAGAGCTGCTATGGTCCTGGGCAGTTCTATGAAAGACCCGGCTGGCAACCCATCGCAGACTGCGTCAGCGGAGTAGCATGGGCTCAAGGACGGTTTATGGGAATAAACGAACCCGTGTAAGTATCACACCCGTTTGTGTTTGTTGCAAAGCCTGCGAGCTAATGGATCTTGAAGCGTGCCCCCATTTCCAATGTCTGACTACGGCACTGGTCTCATGGGAGCTGTGACTGTGTTGACGGCACTGTACCAACGAGCTACGCAGGGAGGCTCCTTCCACATCGAAGTTGCCTTGGTCAAGTATAATCAGCTTCTATACCGGCTGGGCACGTATCCGCTGCATGTCCAGCAAGCAATGAGGGACCGCTTTGCAGGGCCTTTCTTCGAGCTCACACACACATCGCATACGGATGTCGTCTCCTGGACAGCCCTTGAGGCCATGAAAAGGGAGACGCCGGAGCTGTTTAGTGATGATGAAAGCTTCACGGAGACTTGGTGGTCTGATGCCTACCAAGCGAAAGTCAAGGTCGTGAAACAAGTCGCACAGATCGAGGGCTTGGACACTGGGTACGCACGAGCAACTCGTCCGAACGGAACAGACACACCTAGCTGGGAGGGTTGGGAGGTGGAGCATCCGTTATAGCAAGCGAAGTACTGTAGTCCACTGCTCGTTAGTATCGATTGCAAGATGCCAAGCTATTTTACGTCTCTCCGTTGTACGACATTAAGTTCAGTTTGATGGACATTCGATCAACAAGCTCCACGCCGGTTACGCCCTGGGCATATGGTCGGACTTTGAGGACATTGCGTGAAGCTCAATGCCAGTTGCCGAGAATATCCGAGAAGCGCCGTGAATTATGCCTGGTAAAGGCCGAGCTTTCTTTACTAACCCCTTGTAGATACTAGTATTGGAATGGAAGGAGTTGATCTATCCATGAACCAGGAAACCTCATCACAGCCGTCTTCGCATCTGGTAACCAAATATCTACCACCAGCACATCAACCTTCGGTATGGCACCCGTGGCAACAGAGCTATTTGGCGAGAACGAAGTCAACAGAGGTTTAGGCGCCAAAGGAAAGACCACAACTGGAGCCCAGCTGGAGATACGATTGTACCCAAAATTCGAAAGTCTTGAAGAAGAGAGATTATACCGGAAGCAGCATCTGGCAGCCGCATATCGAATGTTCGTTTATTAAAGGTTCTTCAGTCAAATACCTGCTGATCATGCACAGCTTCGCCAACCGAGGATTCGACGAAGGCATCGCCGGACATATGTACGCCACGCTACGTGTTAACTCGTCGATCTCCACTCTGATTGTTTGTGACTTTGTAGCTCAGTGCGCGACCCAATTCTGACGGATCACTTCTGGCTCAACCCACTGTCCCAACATTTCGCAACAATCAAGGTCTCTGATCTGATACTGGTCAACGAGGATGGTGATATTGTGATCGGTAACCAGCCTATCAATGCGGCTGCATTTGCCATCCATTCGGAGAGTAAGTTCGTTGGCCAGGATTATGGTCGAAACTGCTATGCTGACGTCGCTCTTAGTACACAAAGCTCGTCCTGACATACATGCCGCCTGCCACGCACATTCCGTCTACGGCAAAGCGTTCTCAGTGTTCGGACGTGAGCTCGACATGATCACTCAAGACTCTTTACGCTTCTACAAGAGCCATGGCGTCTACGAGCAATTCGGCGGTGTTGTGCTGGATCGCGAAGAGGGTCGGAGAATCGTATCGGCGCTTGGAGACGGCAAAGCTGTAATCCTCCAGAACCACGGCTTGTTGACAGTCGGGCAAAGCGTTGACGAAGCAGCTTTCTGGTTCATGAGCCTGGATAAGACATGTCACGCTCAGCTCCTGGTAGATGCAGCTTGTGCTGGTAGCGGATACCAGAAGAAGTTCATCGAGGATGCCGAGGCGTCTTATACGTATGAGCAGGTCGGTGGGCATGAGAAAGGATGGTTGGCGTTTCAAGGATACTATGAGGAGTTGTTGATGAAGTCAGGAGGCGATTTTCTGGCTTAGGATAATAGATCCTGCAACAACCAATTGCTATCATGGTACATTGTATCGTCAGAAAACAGCTCCATCATGTCCAGCATGTCTGTCTCTCCAAAGTAGCTTAGTGAAGAGTGTTCGGCATGGTCCACATTGCTTGGAAGCGGCTGCGTGGGGTTGGGAAGCTGGTCTTGAGGCCGGAAGACAATCTCACCGCCCTTGACCGGATTATCTGACGAGCGCTGGACCAGGGGCTGAGTTTCGACTTGATCGAGTAACTTGAGGATCGGACTAAAGGATGGCCCGAAAGGTTCGAAAAGGATCTTGTCCGACACCTTCACACGTAGCGGACATGCTTCCGGTGGCGAAGACGTCGCCTCGAACTTTGCTCGGAGTCGCTGCAGTATCTCAAGACTACCAGTAGCAGTCTGCCAGGTCTTGGCAAGTTCAGTGAGCGACATTGCAATGATCCTAAGCTCTTCTAGTGTTGACAATCGGAGCAACGGGTGGGCTAGTAGTGGTCAGCATAGATCGCTTGAAGACGACACAGCAAACTGCCTTACAGAGGCTGCCGACTTTGAATATGCCAGCGATGAGCAAATAAATGGCGGACATCGCCACACCGTCACGAACTTCGCCGCGTGCCAGTGCGTCTTCGAAAATCCTAGCGACACACGAAGCTGCGATCGTAGACGTCATAGTGGCCTCCGAGAAACTGTGCAATATCTGCTTGGGCCTGTATAGCATCATAACAGCCATGAGATAGGGTAGATAGAGAGACCGCACGGTCCCGTCATACCGACTGTATTCTCCAGCGGTGTTCACAATGTGAAGCTCTTCTGGTAAGCCGCCGGCCCACGCACATAGTCTGTCAAAGAAAGCGAGTCGTTGCTGTTCAGCGTCAGCAGATCCTCTGAGAAACCACTGCGCCAAGTCTCCCAGAAGTCCTGCGATCTTCACATAAGCCACAAAAGCATGTGTAGACTTGTCGGCGCTCGAGAAGTCCGCGACGCTTGGCCAGTCTACATTACAGTCTTCGAGGTGAATAGCACGAGGACGTCCCTGACCTGCGCTCAACAGGCTGTCCCGGGCGTAGAGCGTCCAGAAGATTCTCCGGCGCAAGTGCCGATCGCTGCAGTCTGGTTTGGGATCTCTATGAAGACCGATCTGGTGAACCAAACCGACGCCTACACGCAGCCAGTAACTACTGTTATGGATCGAAACATGCTCGGGGCCACTCGGATTCCAGTACTGCAGGATTGTTACGGCAGTGACCAGCGTCATTGGGTTCTTTTCGTAGCCCATGAAGAACAAAACTTTAGCCCTGTTGTAGTAGTCTTTGGTCGTAGTGAAGTCTAAAGGTGAACTTTGCGCAGCCATGCGACTGTTTCAGAGTCAGTCAACTTCCCGTAGCTTTGAATGATACATCTTACGAGCCTGCCATGAGCACTGCTTGAATAAGTAGGATTGGGACTTCTGCAACATTGCCAGTCTGCAGGTGCGTGAGGACATCGTGCGAAATCAGAGGCATCCAGATCTGACACTTCGCGACATAGGTCGAGACCAGACTCTCGAGCACGGAGCGTGGAGGGAGATCGAACGCTTTGCGCAAGTGGAGCACCCTCCAGTCGTCTTCAGACAATGACGAATGGGGCAATACTGCCTCTTCGTCCGTGGGAGAGGCATCGTGCGTCTCCAACTCGGCGCTTAGATACTTGGATCGTCCTAGGTAACCTTGGGCAGACATTGCGGTCGACGGCCGATTCGGGGTAGCATTGGACGGCGACTGCTGGACTGTCACACCGCTTGCTACATCGAGTCCGGGCGATGTTTCTAGTGGGCCCCACCGGAGGGAGGAAGTACTTGGCTGGAATTGCGAGTTGAGCGCTTGCTGTACAAAGTCCCTGTTATCAACGAGGATCTTAGTGCTCTCAAGCGCGCGGTCTGGTTTGGTAGAGGACTGAGCAACAGGGTCGAGCTGGCTGGCATGTCGAGTCTTACTCGCGCCTCCGGCAATGTCGGTCTCGTCGTCGGCGACGACATAGTAATGCTTGCGCTTCCGCTCACGGGGCCTGGCTGCGCTCAGCACGGTAATAGTACGCACCTCTCAAGGTCGGTAGACATGTACGGAACGGGGCATACTTACACGCAAGCGTAGCCCGCAGACACGCAATTACTACAAGGCTGAACACCGTTGGCAATATCACAGCGTATCTGGACCAGAATCAGCGATGCGATGCAATGCGATTGCCATTGCCATTGCCATTGGCGCCGGACCAGATCTTACCTTGCGCCGATGACAAATCATGCACGCTTTCGAGGTGCGCTGCCGGCCTGATTGCTTTGCTTCTTCCATTCTGCCGTCACGTAATCGCGCCTGGGGACCACGTGTGAAATGGCACATGGCATGTGTGGACCGAGTATTTCCATTCCAGATCCGATACCGAGTTGAAAGCTTTGAGGTGAGCACTCGCGGCTCGGATGTTAACGTGCCGCAAATCGCCGAGAATGTCCGGGGATAGTTCACGGTCGAGTCAAGGTTCCAGACAGCATGATTCGCCCAACCCTCACAGTAACGACTGTCTAACGAAAGGCAGCATGACTTCTCATCATGTCCACGCTTTGCGCGAGGACACCCTTTGCAAGTCCTCGAGGTCCCTTTCATCGCCTGTCCACGTCCACCATGAATTCGTTGTCCAACACCAACACCCTCCCAAACTTCCCGCTCTTTGTGAGGCTCCTGGGCTTTGCCCATCGCTTTGGAGCGTCACACGATGCCATATTGGATCTGAAATCTGGCTCAGCCCATTCTCACATCCAGCTTCTGACCGATGTTCTCTCCTTGCGCTTGGCCCTACTGCGAACATTGGATGCGCGAGCGAAACAACGGCTGCAAAACGACGATGGCGAAGCCTTCTTCCTCTTACTTGCACAGCCGAGCTACGAATATGTTGTTGGCTTCCTAGCGATTCTGGCGATTGGCGGTATCATTGTCCCGGTATCAGCGCATGCTCCATTGCGGGAGCTGAAGTACTTTGCTATCCAGACTCCCCCACTTGCCGTGATATACCATCCGAGCTGTAGAACTGCCGTCTCGAGCTTAGCACGGGATATAGCCGTGGAGAGTAATGCCCGTACTCCGACCATCGACATACTGGACCAATGCTCGCGCCAGCCACTGGCTCCGGGTGACATCCACGTGGCGCCCTTTTGGTCACTGCACCCGGAGCGTCCCGGACTGGTCATCTATACATCAGGAACCACTGGACCGCCCAAAGCTGTGCTGCTGCAACGCGAAATTCTGTCCTCTGGCACTTTGGCTCTGGCAGACCATTTCCAATTGACCACGGATGATGTGCTACTCCACTGTATGCCGCTTCACCATATAGCAGGAATAACAGTCTGTTTCGTACCTTTCCTTCTTGCCGGAGCCCGAATCGAATTCACGACATTCGATGTTCAGCCGATATGGCAAAGGTGGAAGGACAGCGGCGTCACGGTCTTTGGCGGAGTAGTATGATAGTTTACTTTTGCTTCTGCCTCATGATTCATTACTGATGTCTATGTCTATAGCCTACAATGTACAACCGCCTTTTGCGCGAATATGAAGACAACATTAAATCGTCGCCGAATCAGAAGACATACATCGGCGGTCTTCGTCAGCTCCGCTTCCTAATGTCGGGCACCTCCGCCTTACCGGCTCCGCTGCAACGCAAGTGGTCAGATCTTACAGGCGGGAAGCCCATATTAGAGCGCTACGGCGCCACCGAGTTCAGTACAGCGATCCTTACACCCTTGAGGCCTAACGGAGACGTGCCAGCTGTAAGCTCTTTGACTCTGTTCTCGCTCATGATCCGAAGCTGATTCGTGCTAGGGCTCCGTGGGCAAAGTTCTCTCCGGCTGCGAGGTAAAGCTCGCAAATGGCAACGACAGTGAGATCCTGATCAAAGCCCCCGGCATGTTCACAGGGTATCACAACGATCCAGCGGGCACGCGAAAGAGTTTCGACGCTCAAGGCTTCTTCAAAACGGGCGATATCGGTCGTCGGGAAGGGGAGTGGTGGTTCATCTCCGGTCGAGCTTCGATTGATAGTGAGTGTTCCTGGCCGTGATGGAAGTTTGGATCGCCCTTTGCTAATTACATGTAGTCATTAAGACGGGGGGCTACAAGGTCTCAGCCCTCGATGTTGAAAGAGAGCTCTCCGCCCTTCCCTACGTCTCCGAGGCCGCCGTCGTCGGTGTTAGCGACGACGATCTCGGTCAGCGGGTAGCAGCTATCGTTATCCTTCGAGACGCTGGCACACTTGATTTATCACAATTACGGGACGACTTGAGGGGAAGTCTTTCTTCTTACAAACTGCCTACACTGCTCTGCGTCGTTGAGCACTTGCCGAGGACTGCGAGCGGCAAGGTGAAGAAAGTCGAGGCGCGCAAAGAGATCTTCGAGGGTGGGAGAAACCGTGCGTATGTTGTTCAGTCGGCTCTGTCACCACGCAACAGCAGCGCTCGTCCGCAGGCACGTTTGTAATCCTAGCACTTTGTCCGATGACACAGAATAAACTCATGAAATAGCCTGGAAACTGTTGACGAGCAATCTTGCGAACTTCACAATACTCGAGTTGATCGCTCTTTGCTACTCTGACTTCGTTCATACATAGGTCTCGAGGTCTTTCCGGTCTCCCTATCTCAGGCTTTGTATCGCCAGGCTTCTTTGTCATAGGGTACTCAAGATAGCATTCGTCGGGTATCTCTTGAAGCTGGCACACTTACCACATCTTGAAAGAGTGAGCTTGCTGAACTCCACTGTCGACGATGCGCACACTCAGAGGTCTGTAGTCCTTTGATAGGAGAAGCTGGATGGGGTGTTTCTGATCAGACTGGACCAAGAGGAGGACGAAGCTGTAGACAATAGTAGGCCTGCGATCGAAGTACTGCGTCAGTTTAGATGGCAGGCGGCAGGATAGGACTGCGTTCGAGTCACGGCAAACGGACTGGAGGACATGTGGGATCTATCACATGAATAGTTGGGTGTTTACATATTTGAATACTGGGTGGAAAGAGGCGTCAAAAACCAATGGCTGAGTAGCTCTAGGAGTCGGTACATTGAAGGAAACGCGAATGGTCTTGAGGTTCATCTGTGACTGCACCTTCACTCAGAGTGCTTCTTCGCCAGACCCACGTTTTCATCACTTTGACTCAGGCCGGGACCTCAGCCTATAGTATGACAACCATTGGGTCCGACACCCCGAGCGCATTCGAGCCCGAAATCTCTACTCGTGGACGTCGATACCGCCACACTACTATGACAGCCCCCTGGTCCAATCCCAGCAGGATTACACTCATCACCATTGTCGCTGTTTGTCGAAGTGGGTACCGGCACAATGTTATCAGTGTTCGTGCTTGTTCTCGACGGTGTCACAATTGTGATGCCCGACAAAGCAGTTGCGCTGGAAGCCACAACTCCCGGATCAGAAGGCATCGTAGGCGTAGCCTGAGGTGACTCAGGCGTGAAGCCCGAAGGCAGAGCAGTCGATGTGGCCGAGAGATGCGATGTGTTTGTTCTCGTTGTGATGTAGGTACTGACAACAAAAGTCTTCGAGCCCGGAGCCTCGCATACCACGTTATAGATGTCGAAACCTGCCGAGACAGTCACGAGCCCGACAACCACTTCATCATTGCAGGAACATCCCGTCACTGCGGGATTGGTAATCTCCCCGAATGTTAGCGCAGCGGCAGTGTATAGCGCGCAAGACGTGATAGATGTCGCAGCTGTGGTAGCAGTAGTGGAGTGAATGGTGCTCGTGAAGGTACTAGAGCTTGACAATGTCGTGGTTGAGTAGACGCTGTTTCTGGAAGAAGAAGTAGAGCCGGAGCTTGTGTATACGCTAGTAGCTGAAGACGATACGCTCGAGATGGTGACAGTACTGAAAGTTGATGGCGTGCTCGTGGGCTTTTTAGATGTGCCCGAAGTGGATGCAGCAATTGAGGCGCTGCTCGTATTACTTATATGAGAGCACGCACTCGGGACCTTGTCCAACTGCAGCCCAGGACCGACAATAGGAAACTCATCCAGCCAACTCGGGGCAATTGCCCATTCGTCAGAGCGAAACGGCACGATGTTTTTCGGGGTGTCACCAATCCATAAATTCCATCGCGCAGTTCGGATTTGGCACTTCATAGGAAGACCATCCTCGATCATGTCAGGATCTTCTACCTCGTCCTGCGCCGGGTCGAACATGAATAGGACCTTGCCTATGGCCTGCTGGGCATCAGTGGCGGCAACTCGATCAACGCGATCATAGACAATGCCGTTCACATCAGTGATACCCAATGTGTTCTGGACCTGATCCGAGATGTCGTTCATACGAGTCTGATACCTCGGCTGGCCTGTCGTGCTATCACGAGGGGAAAGGACGAAAGCTCTGACACCACCAGGTTGAGTGGGATCGAAGACGTTGGCTCGCAAGGCACGGAGGCTTGGCAGCCAATGTTCATTAGCGTAACCGGGACGTGGAATGATTCTGCTGTCCCCGTCAGCCAAGGGATTTGAGACATGGTGGTCGAAGACAGCATCTGGCGCGGGCCAGTGTTTGGAAGGTTTTCCATCCGAGTCATATTGCACGCTTAAGAACGATGGGACTTCATACACTGTTTCACACGTCAGCCCATGTGTTTGATGTGCTTGATCAGAGGCTCCTTAACCTACTATGATTCATATAGACACCTCTACGTGATATGACGATGAGGGAAGAACAGCCGTATAAGCCTCTCACCGTCATGTACAGTCTCTGATTTGCGACAAATTCCCGGACCAGTCCAGACGTCGAGATGTCTATAGAGTCGATACCATCGCGGTGCGGCACAACCAGAACACCATTTGCGTACGCATTCGCTGCAAAGAAAGCATTGTAGGCGTCGATGAAGTCACGCCCAGGAGTGAGATACTCTGTCTGAAAATTCGGGAGAGTCCTCTTGCTCAACGAAGTGCTGTTGTCAATTTGGTCAAAATCCGACAGGGCGGTCGGCATGGGTATATCTGCAGGCAGCGTGTGTAGCTCTGGTGCATATGGAACACCACTAACAGTCGTGCAATCTGTGCAAACAATCGAGGGCGTTGGAATGATGGTCTCTGTACAGTCTTCACAGGTATCTGGAGCGCAGGGAGTGAAATTATCGTACGGAATCGTCGTAGTTGTAGTGCGTGCTGTAACGCTGCAGCCTATGACAGTCGAAGTTGAGGTCTCACATGTCAATGTGATTGATGAGCTAGCAATCACTGTCGTACTACATGTAACGAAGTAGTCCTCGGTCACCGATGTACCCGAGAAACAGCTCGAGGAAGATGATGAGCTGGGAGAAGACGGGCTCGCTGGCGGAGAAGAACTTGGTCGAATCGCTGGTGAGGTTGGAGCAGGTGACGGCGTTTGCGGCTGCAGAGTAGGTGGCTTCGTCGGCGTGGGAGTTGAGATTGACACTGCCGGCGTACCAGGAAATGTGAGCGGCCCAGGTAGAGTGATTGGAGTCGGAAGTCTGAGTCCGGGAAGCTTGGGGAGCACAATGGCTGGAAAGGTGATTTGCGGTGGTCTCGGCCAATCAAAGACCGGAAAGATGATGCCAAACCCGCCATGGTGCACTGTAGTGTGAGTGATACTCGTTGGATATGTCAGAGTCACAGGAGTGGGAATGTTCGGCCATGATACCACGGGAACCACGGTGGTAGTACTGCCCGTTGTCGACGTGTAAAGGTAGGTATCGTAAGGGAGCGTGACATCGGCTGTCATCTCTGTTCCCACTGTGGTTGGAAGGCCGGAGCAGATGTTGGTTGTCGAGCAGGCATTGCCCGAGCAGAACTCCACATTCGAGCATGGTGCGCGTGATGTAGATGGAGCGCCTGTGATGATATCTGGGTTCGATGGAGGGAAGGTCGAGCCAGGGGTTACCTGAGGCCGCGCGGCAGAACTCTTGCTTGATGAGCTGGAAGCGGAGATGGACGAAGCACTCGAGTGTTGCGTGGAAGGACTCGATGTCCAACATGTGCCGGTTGAGTTCGTCCACGCGCTAGTGTTGCTGAGGGAGTAAGTAGACAACAAAGATGACGATGAGGAGGTGGAGCTCACAAGTGTGGACGTGAGTGAATAACTTGAATAAGTCGCTGTAGAGCTGGAGGCTGACTTTGCGCCTGTCGCAGATTTGGAAGGTCCGGTGATTTGAGTAACCATAGAGCCCGATATTGAAGCTGTATTCGGTGAGGTCCTCGAACTTCTACTATCTCCGGAGCCATGGGTCGTCGCTGACGTGGAGGTCGAACGCGAAGAGCTGGGAGCATGTGCAGCAGATAATTCACTCGAGCTACTCGTGCTCTGCGAGAATGTGGTGCTTGCACTAGCGGTATGGGAGAGAGCGCTGGATCTGGAGCTCGTCGATGATAAAGATGCTGTACCATCACTGCGAGTTGTGCTCCGCGTAGTGCTTGTACTGAGTCTGTTGGAGGACGCGAGAACGCTCGACGAGCCTGACAGAGCAGTAGAAGACGCTGAAGAATGATTGACAGAGCTCGAGAACGATGCAGCTGTGTTCGGAGCGTGAGATTGCGAGCTTGAGGGTGGAATAGCGCTCAACGAGGTCGAGGCGTGAGTGAGAGAGCTCAAGGTCTGAGTAGAGGAACTCAGAACATGGACAGAGGAGATGAAGGTGGGTGCGGAGCCAGCCTTGGTTGTCGACTTTTTGCTGTGCGAGGATGTCGTAGTGATGCTCGTCTTATTAGCATGAGTTGCGCCGCTTTTGTTCGATGGAGTGCTGATGCTGGCGCCAGATGTCGATTGTGCCAGTGCTTGAGTGGCGAGAAGGAGGATGAAGGCAACATAGCTGATCACAGCCATCGGCTTGGCGACCATGCTGCCGGCGGCGGTCGTCTGATCGAGTCGTGCGGTTGTGTATCAGTGCTATCATGTCTTGATTTGGCCGTGTGGTATAACCGATGCGTTGTGAGGCGAGAAGGTCTCGATTCAGGAGTCCGAACGAATCGTTTCGTGAATGCAACCCGAGTCGTAATCGCTCGTCGGCCTTTAATTCAGTGTTGAAGATCGCATAGACTGGCTGGCCTGCCTTCTGTCTGGTGTGGTAATGAGGGGCGCGTTGAAGGTCTTCAAGAGCCGTCTATGTCGCAGCAGACTTGAATGTGCATTGAGTGGACTCGGTGAAACCGTTGAGGCGAGGTACGCGTGATCGTTCTTTCCTCGTTCAGCACGCAAACGTCCGTGCAGACCGCCTTCGGTGTCTCATTGGTCAGGGAGCACATTCTCAGCAATCACACCAGCTGCCATATCGCCTTACTTGAATGTATGTGACGTGAATAGATGTTGGTCAACGTAGAAATGAGATGTATCTTCTTTGACTGAAATGAACTGCACTCAGCCATGTTGGGAAGGCACGCATGTCTCCACTTAGCCGAATTGTGCCTGTGGCAAGAACAGGGTCACCTGCTAAATTACATCGTGACTGTAGATATTATTCCGGGATTTTTCTGCTTTGTATCAGCCACAAAGGTAATGAGAGCGTGGTTGCGCGCATTGCTACGCTGAAGTCGTGATTTTCCGTTGGCTTCTCTCCCAGACGCGCAAAGCATCGTATGCGGAAAACGTCACCCCCAACGCAAAACGAGCATGATGATGATGCATCCTCGATGCATTCAGCCAAGGTGGAGGGTCGCAATTTGGGTATCGTGGTTTCGCGTTGGTGGACGATCTACAACATAGCTGCTGAAGTAGGCGGATAAAGCGTAGCCCTGCAAAAGGTAGCGGACTTTAAAGCAGCTTGACCTTGGGCGGTATACTTGGAGAGGAGAAGGGAGAAGCAAGTTGGGTATAGTTCTCTCTGAGGATCTGCCGGCGTGCAGATTCGTCTCATTGCGTTCACGCATGACCATAAACTCGTGCTGGATGGCCCTGTCTGACTCTCGGAGCCAAACCATCTTGCAGGTAGTTCTCGCGCATGCTCTGACCAGCATAATCAATCTGCAGATGACGTCGCCTCCGCAGCTCTGGCCACAGGAACTTGATAACATCCTCGAAAGTGTGCGGTGTAGTGGCATGGCTAATATTCCAGCCATCCACAATAGCTTCCTCGATCCACTTCTCCAGTAGATCGGCCACCGTGTTCGCGCTGCCGACAGCTCGTGGATGAGTACCACAAAGTGCAAGCTGCTGCATGACCCGCCTCTTGGTCCATTTCAAACTCGCTGTGCCAGGAACCGTAGAAGTCCAAGCATTGATCGTGCTTTGACTCGCCGGAGGCCCTTTGAATGAGAAATCCTCGTCATCTGCGAACTGTGACAAATCTGTCCCTGTCCACCCGCCAAGTAGCGTCGCAGTACCTTCAAGGTCTGTATACTGCAAAAGATCTTCAAATTTGGCCTGCACCTTCTCATCAGTGTCATCAACACAGATGAAGACGCCTTTGAGGAACTTGACACTGCCTTCAGGTCGTCCGATCTCTCTAAGCTTCGCTCTCACTTCGTCTGCGATGACTCGAGTCTTCTGAGGAGTCATTCCAGGCAAGAACATGCACTCGGAATGTGCTGCAGCAAACCCCTGGCCAGCTTTCGAAGCTCCCGCTTGCAGCAGAAATGGTGTACGTTGGGGTGACGGGTCAACTAGATTTGGTCCAGTACACTTGCCATAAGTTCTACGCACACTTAGTCTGTTGTCTCACAATGCACAGTGACGAGACTCACCCTTCGTGATTGATTTTGTGGACTTTGGCCGGATCAGCATACACGCCAGCCTTCTTATCAGCACGCACAGCATTGTCTTCTCAGCTTTGCTCCCACAGGCTGTATGTGACTTTCAGGAACTCAGCAGCCATCCTGTAGCGTTCATCGTGCTCAATCTGCACTTCCAGACCGTAAGAATCTGCTGCGGACTGGAGATCGCTCGTCACAATATTCCAGCCAACACGACCATCAGTGATGTGATCAAGTGTCGAATACCTCCTAGCCAGCGTACAAGGATCCTCATAAGTCGTTGAGGCAGTCACACCAAAAGATAGGCCTTTCGTAGCTTGAGCCATCGCGGATACCATGAGGCTAACGTCCAGTATAGGTATCTGAGCCGCAGACTTGAGAGCAGGCCACTTATTGCCAGGGCCCTGGTAGACATCATAGATACCCAGCACATCGGCGAGAACAGTCCATGGAACTTGGCTTCATCGAGAGTCTTTGCCAATTCCACCCAATGAGCCAGCGTTTGCTTTTCTTGTAGTGGATGGCGCCACAGTCCCGGGGCTAGGTGTCCAGGCGCGGTCATGGCGAAGGCGTTCATAATCCACGGCTTTCTGTGATCGCGATTACCATTGGTACCGTTGAGAGCCATTCTGACGGTGATTGTGAATTGGTGGTAGATGGCCGGATGCGAACAAGCCTACATGTATCTTTGTGGAACGAATACAACGTCGGCCTCTCGTCCAATCGGCAGACCAGTCAAAACGTGTCGGAACATGGAGACATGTAAATGAGTGGATGTTGCGTGCTTCGGTGCCGATGCGGTCGTTCGCTGGAATGGCAGGTTCGCCATGATCCGGTCGTGCCTTCACATGGTGAAATGGCCACGCATCGCACGTGTGGGGCACCTCAAGCACACCATCGCACGCAACTTCAAACGACCGTCAATACCATTGGACAGAAGAATGTCAGCCATTAATAGCAGTAGCGCTTCGGCGGGTGAGCAGCCCGATCTGCCTGCCAGGAACCATGGGGCATGCATGAGCTAGCCGGGACGGTTTGTAGGTCCACGATAATTTCAAGCCGATGTTTTGGCGTCCTGACCAGCACGCCGAGTACGGTAGCAGATTCGTCTCTGCGTAGAGCAACACATGAGTCCGGCATGTGATTAGGTCAGAGAAGCATGTATGGCGTGCGACCTGCCTGCAAGGTCCGGAAATATTGTAGGATTCTCTCACCAAATGCTCCATCTATGTAACGCCATTGGGCATCTGTAGGCGACTGACTGTCATCCATCGTCGTATAAGTAGCTCGCAATTCTTCGCCGTCATGTGCCGCTCATGTCTGCCATCGATTCGTAACTTCAGTTCCAACGAGCCCAAACGATTGTCATTGTCGGAATAAAATCAGTGTGCACGATGGCACAAGTCGAACCATATCTCAAGCAAGACCTACTCATGGAGCGAACAGTCACTGATCAAGTCGCAAAGCATCAGAAGTACCCAGTGGAATGGTACCGATCGACCTTTTACAATGCCCTAGTGCTCGGTCTCTGCAACTTCTGTGCGCCCGGGGTAAGCACACCTGCGGCGTCTGCACTGGCCCACATTACTGATCAAGCGGCCATAGATATGGGGTGCAATGAATTCTCTAGGCGGAGGCGGCGAAGAGTCGCCATGTCTCGTAGACACCGCCAACGCCCTGACATTCTGCCTCATGGTTCTGGCCTGCGCCCTCTCTGGTGTCTTCGTCAAATACATCGGCATCGAATGGACTCTTATCCTAGGAGCTGCAGGCTATTGTCCTTTTGCCGCTGGTCTGTACTGTAACAAACGGTACGGCACTAGCTGGTTCGTCCTCCATGGTGCCGCCCTGTGTGGCCTTGGGGCAGGTCTTTTCTGGATGGCCGAAGCCGCGGTAGCCATGTCGTATCCTGAGCCGCACAATCAAGGTAAATTCCTGGGGCTGTGGTTGACATTCCGCGTGGCAGGACAGGTACCTGGAGGAGCCGTCAATCTGGGTCTCGACAGTGACCGCAACCACGCAGGTGCCGTATCGTATGGCGTCTATGAGGTGTTCATTGCACTGCAAGCTGCAGCACCGTTCGTTGGCCTTCTACTCACCTCTCCGGCCTGAGTGGAGCGCACGGACGGTGTAACAGTCTATTGCGGCATACCAAGGATTGAAAACACATGGACGGAGCTCAAAGCGACCGCTGGTCTGTTCATCTCCAAAGACTTCTTGCTGATCATACCACTCATCTGCCAAGTCGTATTCGCAGAACCGGTCTTCTTTACATTTCAATGACTCTGGTTTACCGTTCGTGCACGCGCTCTCGCATCTTTCCTGTCCGGTATCGTAGCCATGGATGCTGGTGATTTGCTGGGATTGTTGCTAGACAACAAGAGGCTGTCGGCAAGATTGCGCAGCCGTGCATCTTTCTTCCTGATTCTAGGCCTGCAAGGTGCATGGTGGATCTGCTCCTCGTGGGAGTACTGTATAGCAGGGAGAAAGTATGCTCGCGGCTTCAGCTGTGTATGTACCTCAGTCAAGGCGATCATGCCTCTCATCGTCAGGAATGTAATGAGAGCGTCTTGAATTGGGAGGCCCAGTGGCGATGTGAGAGTCGGGACTTTAGAGAGCATATCTCCGCACACGACACGTTTTCATCGTCGCGTTGTGCAGGGCGTACGGCTTCTATCGACTTCACCTTGGCAAGACACAGGACAGCCTCAGTCAGTAGAACTTGCAGCTCGGCAGGCCTTTCAACGTCTGCATGGTTGTTGATGCGACAGATTCTATTGTGTGCTAAATGTCGGGTTGGCGAGCAAAAGACGGACGATTCCGTCTGCATAAGTGGTCTGCGATCGGGTCCAAAGCTTAGCTAATGATCTTCGATTCTTCGCTAATGCTTAGGGCGATTTGACTGGAATCAATCCGGATCATGTTAACGTCCTATGCCTGTACTTTCATCGCACCATCACCAAGGCTGTATATCGCAGTAACATGACTGACTCTGCTCTGCATGTGGCCATCGTTGGTCCGCATATCTCTCCATCTCTAGCTACTAGACTAACTAATATATACAACAGGCGCTGGCATTGGCGGCCTCGCGCTCGCGATGGCATTGCACCGCATGGGACTGTCTTTCACGCTATTCGAAGAAGCAGCCCAGTACTCAGCGGTCGGGTGTGTGATAGCCTCGTACCTATTAATGAACTGCGACGACTGATGGCATAACAGTGCCGGGATCGGGTTTGCGCCAAATGCTCTGCAGTCGCTAGATCTGATTGAACCGCGTTTTAGAGCCTTGTATGAGGCTGTGGCCGTTGGAAATAAGCCAGAGGACGCACAGTGGGTTTTCTTCGAAGGCCTACTGCTCGAAGAGGGTCTTGGTATGCATGAGATCTGCAGCCAGCACCAATCGAGTTATGTGGCCCAGCTCTGATCCTTGGTTTCTAGGACAGAACGAAGCATGGTATGGCAAGTCGAGCTGGGGTCATGCCGACTACACACGCAGATCTGTATGCTTTGATACTACGCCTTGCAAAGGTGTTGGCTGCTGATCACTCTCAGGCACACAGGAAAGCACTCCTCGACATCATGACAAAATTCATTCCCACTGAAAGCGTGAGGTTTAGTAAGCGTTTGACTGAGATCCAACAAGACCAGCGTGGCGTATCTCTCGCTTTTGAAGACGGTGAAGTCGCTCATGCAAGTGTACTAGCTGGGGCAGATGGCATCAAAAGTATCGTGCGAAAGCATGTACTAGAGCGCTCGTACCCTGGAGAGGTTGCCGCAGTGTACGCCGATGCGTACTGCTACAGGGCTGTGATACCTACCGCTGAGGCGGAAGAAATCCTTGGAGATCTGACAGACGTGGCAAAATTCTACTTTGGCAAAGGTCGCAGTGCAGTCACATACAGGATATCTGGTGGCGAGGTGAGGACACAGTAGCACATCATGTCTCACATTTGCTTACTGCTTGTTTTGGCAGGAATTCAACTTCCTCCTCTGTGTATCAGATGAAACAGAATGGAAGTATCCGGACGCCGTCACAGAAAGGGTCACTCATGAAAAAATGATGGCCGACTTCCAGGATCACGGCATCGACCAACGCTTTCTTCGCCTACTCGCAAAAGTCGATCCCATAAGATGGGGTTTCTTCCACCACATGCGCACTTCTACCTACATTAATGGCCGTGTAGCACTGCTAGGCGACAGTGCACATGCCTCGCTTCCATTTCAAGCAGCAGGAGCTGGTCAGGGAGTGGAAGACGCTCTGCTACTTTCGAACTTACTGGCCGCGGTCGAAGACAGCGATGGCGAATGCTTGGTATCAGAGCCGCAGATAAAAGCAGCACTAGATGCGTATGACTCGATCCGACGACCACGAGCTCAGAAACAGCTTGAGCAATCTGCTGAAGTAGCGCGCATGATACACTTTCAGGATTCAGAGACTGGTTCGGACATGAGTAAGATACTTGCCAAGCTGCAGAACGGACGTTTGGATTGGCTCTGGTTTCATGATATGGAGGCTGACGTGCAAGATGCTTTATCGCGGATGCAGGATATCCTGTCGGCGAGTCAGGCTGAACAGATGCTGGATACGTCTCAGTAGCCCGTGCAGGACTTTGTCCAGGCTTCAAGGCGATGGAGGAGCGGCCATTGTTGCATCGTCGGCAACGTCGTCTGGTCTATGAGCACACGGCAAAGTTGGAAAATCCCAGACATATACGCAATATACTCTGCATCTTAGCCGCATAATTCCCCACAACCGCCGAGCAGACTTCAAGACATCTAGCTTTCACGTATAGTCTGACCATCCGTAGGAACATTGGAAGGGCTTGTTGGCACATCCCGTGTCTCGACCACATGTCAACGGAGCCATGCAATATGACAGACAGGACATCATTACGTCTGGCCGACTTCACCGATCTCACCGAGGGCATGACTGACGTCTACAAGACCCTGATCGCAACGGGATACTTCGAAGAAGGCGATGTTCACTTCCCTTCCTCGGACGCAGACCCTCCAGATCGAGAAGTGACCGCCAGGCTCATGACCGCAGGCTTCAGCGAAGAAGCTGCTACAGTTATACAGTATCTCCCGTGTCCAAGCCAGCCAATGCTCGACTATCACTCTCACGGCAGTGTTCCGATAGCCCCAGACAGCCATGTAATGCCGTACATATCAGCCCAGCTACCAAGTGCGGAGGACATGCGATCGATACGCTTTTCCGAGAATACGATTGGCCAGCATGACATCAAAATATCACGATGTCCAGGCAGGTATGGAGTAGATGTGATTCACAGATTTGACACCAGTATGACGTCTTCCAAATTTGATCATGCAATCGAAGCTGATGGAAGCGGAGACTATATCGAACCCTACGATACCAACAATAACAACAACATTTCACTAAACCTTCCCGCCAAAGAAGCCTTCCGTAAATGGGAAGCTAAACTTCGCACTCTGTCCTGGCTACCCTGGACCGACAACGGCAATCTAACAATCACACCTCAGCCCACCGAGTACGAGAGCGGCCTTTCCGACCCCGAAGGACTCCGCAAAGACTACGAGCTCCAATTCTTCGCCTGGCAACAAAGCGGTCTCGACCTCCGCGGCAAGACGTCGACCAACTACCCCACGAACGCGATACCCGAGTGCGAGCGGAGCGAGATAGCTCCCTCGGCAAGCGACTGATATCTGAGGACGCCGATGGCCAGACGCTTTCGATCGTGGAATGTTCCAGCAGCGGAGAGACGAATGGGATGACGGATCTACGCAAGCACGGGCCGCTGACGGGAAGATGGTGGCAGTATGAGCATGGTCATGCGTTGAGGCAGATGTTTCGGGAGACGACGGGAAATTATGCTGCATGACATTCCAGACTTCTTCGGCGGGCTTGAAGCGCGAGCTAGATCTGAAAGGCAGCCCAGAGCGCATCCCCATCGCTCATGCAGTCGAACTGCAGTGAAGCTGCCGTGGGTGCTTCCAAGTAAACGGCTGGCAGCAAGTAACCACCACAATCCAGGTAGGAAAGTGGCAAGTTGCTGGGACCTCGCCACGGCATGGCCGCAAGCATGAGCCTAAAGCTATCGCAACCACTCTCCTCTTCCAACGGCGCTCAATACATCCCTCATTCGGCAGCTGGCTAGGCCCACCAGCGAACCATCATCCCATCGTTGACACACTGCATGCTCTCCATCCCACATCGGCTGGCGGAGACTCATGGTGATCGTCCCGTTGGATATACGCTGGCAGCAGTCGGGCGCGCCAATGTCTTGTAGACAGCTGGCTGAAGAAGCACCATATTTCCACATGCCTGGAGTCCAGGTCACCATTGCCTTCCTGTGAGCGCGGTCAATGCCAGTTGAAGGAATTCTCATCCAGAACCCCAGTCCCTCCCACATAACCCTGCCATTCCCGCCCACACCCAGAATTGATGCTCATACACACGCCTCATCAAATCTTATACTCCCTCCCAACCCTCGTATGAAACGGACTCCACACCCCCCTAACCCCCTCATTCCCACTCCTCACCACCCCCCTCTCCACCCTCAACTTTTCCCCATTAGCACCCTTCAACAACTCGGCCTTCCCCAGCACCTCCCCCCCCTCCAAACCCCTCACACACACCGCCTTCTCCCTCCCATTAATATACCCACCTTTAATAACCGGATGTCTGCCCGGTCTTGGACTAACCACGATTTCGATCCCCGGGTTCGCCTTCGCAAAGGCCGGGAGGTGGTGTTTCAGGAAGGCGTTCATGCCGCGACTACTGCCCGCCCAGTCGCAGTAGTGGAAGGAGAGGCGTTTGCATTGGAGGATGAAGGCGCCGACGCCGTTCTGTGCTGTCATATTAGTGTTGATCATGTTGGATAGTAATTGAGTGAATGTACCTGTGGTTTCGCTACCGTACGGAGAGATTGTAGAGGCATGATATTGGCATTGGATGTGTTAAGTGTACAAAATGCAAGCGATGATGGGATGGAGTTGCTGGTGGTGAGTGCGCGAGTTTCGCCGCGGAGGTGAGAGAAGAGTGGTGGGCAATTGTAGCCGAGCAAGTCCTACGGAGGACTATATGAGTCGAAGCACACACAGGCACGACAGGCTCAGAAATATCATTATTCTGACAGAGGGATGCAGGTGTATGGAAATAAGATCATTCGCTACTACTGAAGCGGCGGATATATGTCTAGCCATGTGAAGGCAACGCCACAACACCTCGCTAAGTACAAGTCCTTTTTTGGACAAACCATCGCATCCTCCCATAAGCATTCTTAATTTCCCGTCCTTCCCAACCCATCAACCGTTTCTAGTACACCTCACAAATCCCCATCTGGCAGCCAGAGCAGCACATCCTTATCCGCACTCGCCAGCAAATTGAACCGCGGATTATACGCCACCACCGCCGCCGACTTGGCACTAGGCAGATCGGCAGACGGCTTCAACACCTTGTCCACACCCGAGGAATCCTGTGAGTCCCAAACAACTAGTCCACTCTGCGAACCACTACCGCCAATGACGAAACGACCATCGGGGGAGAGACAAGCATCCGCTTGCGTGTAGACTGACGTGGGATCCGGTCGCGGGTCGCCCGGAGCCAGACGTGAAGTCACACCATTACCAGAAGATTTGTGCAAGTAGTGCACGAGATCTCCCGAGAAAGCATCAAGCAGATAATGCCCACCCCCGTTCGTCGTGATAAGCAGGAACTTCCCGTTATTCCCAAACTCCAACCCCGTCCAGCCTTCCGCCGGTCGTTGACCAAGGTGCACATACCTCTTCTCCACGTCCGCGAGGTCGAAAGTAGCAAACGGCGGTTTGTCGAAGTTCTTGAGATCATACAACACCACCGCTTGCGCCGTCGGTGAGGCAACGGCAAAGACAGTCGAGCTAGGATCGTAAGCCGTGAGCCAGGGGTCTTCGAACCTCAGTTCTCCCTGCGCACTACTAGAGCGATGGTCCCATAGCTTGACGGTGCCGTCGAGAGAGGAGGACATGAATTGATCTCCACTAGGACTCAAACACAAACTCGTCACCCTCCCCTCATGGCCCCGGAAATAGCGTATGAAATTGTTATCATGCATGCTCAAGTATCGTATCGCATCATCCCCCTTGGTACTAGCATAAATAATGCTCTGACTATGATGGGTGAAGCGTGCCAAGGCAGAACCATACTTTTGACTCTTTAGTTCCTTCGCCGGAGCGCCGGCTTTGGTGTTGTACATTTGGATGGTGTCATCGGTGCGGGAGAGGAGAAGGAACTCGCCGCTATCGTCGTGGTCGATGGAGGTGTAGGAGACCGGGGTGCTGGTTTTGAACTGTTTGGTTGGGCGGAAGGAGGTGATTACGTCGGAGACTTTGGTGGTAGGTGGGGGCGCAAGGTCTGCCATTATCCGGTTATGTGCTATTCACTCATGGAATGATTTACGGAGTGACGGTGTTGTCTTGTCAGTTCATGATCGTTAAAGGAATGCGATAATTATTGTGTCGCGTGTGCATGTGATAGAATGGTACAATTGTGACTTTCGTGCATGTATACCACGCCGTGCGTGACCTCGGCGGCCGAATATGCTTCTCTACGACGCGAGCACTGCTTATATGTAATATTAATTAATCATAAGCCAGTATTGCTCTGCTGCAGCTTCTTACCTATTCCTCGATTGATATACCCTACTCGACTCAACATATCGCATTGTCAAGCCACTGCTTCCCTCGGGCCTTCATGCGATAACAGCAGCATTTCCCATCCAGGTCGCAGCAGACCGCAAGCATGTCGACAACAATAGGCAGCTTCATAGCCGGCGGCATAGCAGCCTGTGGCGCCGTCACAGTCACCCATTCCTTCGAGACGGTCAAGATCCGACTCCAACTGCAAGGCGAGCTCCAGGCGAAGAAAGACGCGCCCAAGATGTATCGAGGCGTGTTGCATGGTGTGAATGTGATTTACAAGAATGAAGGCATGCGAGGCTTATTACGAGGCTTGAGCTGTGCCGTGAGTAGACATATACCAAAGACATCCTGCTGGAGGCTAATATGCCAAAACAGTACATCTACCAAATGACCCTCAATGGCTGCCGTCTGGGCTTCTACGATCCCATCCGCACCTCCCTCAACTCACTGGTACTAGAACACGACATCTCCCACACCTCAGACGCGCGGATAAAACAGTACCAAAGCTTACCAGTCAACATCGCCTCCGGAGCCTCTTCAGGAATCCTAGGAGCGGCAGCCGGATCGCCCTTCTTCCTCGTCAAGACAAGATTACAGTCATACTCCCCCTTCCTCCCAGTAGGAACCCAACATAACTACAAGAACGCCTGGGATGGCCTCTCCCAGATCTACAAGTCAGAAGGCGTGCGAGGTCTGTATCGCGGAGTCTGGCCAGCCATGATCCGGACGGGGTTTGGCAGCAGCGTCCAACTACCCACCTACTTCCTAGCCAAGCGCCGACTACAACACTGGTTCGACATGAAAGATGGCGCACCCCTGCACTTACTCTCTAGCACCGCCTCGGGCTTCGTAGTCTGCGTAGTAATGCACCCGCCCGACACGGTTATGAGCCGGATGTACAATCAGACTGGAAACCTCTACACCTCCGCCTTCGACTGTCTATACCGGACTGTGAAGACCGAGGGCATCTTAGCGGTGTACAAAGGCTTCTTTGCACATTTAGCACGGATACTGCCACATACTATTCTCACTCTGTCTTTGGCGGAACAGACGAACAAGTTGATGAGAAGGTTCGAGGAGGGTACGCTTGGTATACCTGACAAGACTCGGTTAAAGACGGCATAGTAGCTGGGACTGATAAAGATGTGCTAGACGAAAGGCTTGTATATATTGATACCTGTAAAGTACCTACAGACACAGCATCATCCCATCATAATCCACGACCCCTCAAATCGCCATATTAGACAGACCCTTCGCAGCCGCTGACTGGCCAGCTTCGAGCTCTGTAGTCCACTGACCGCTCGATGGGTCGAACTGCAAAGTATAGCAACTTCGCTCATCCTCTCCCGACCGATACTGGTGCCTCAGCTCCAGGTCCGGCTCATTATAGTGGCCCATGAAGGACAACGACAGGGTAAGACCAGAGTCCGGCAGCAACTTCTCCCTGACTTCAAAACTGTACGGCTCGGCCTTGCCAACCCTTCTCTCCACCTTGACGCTTCGAAGGAAAGAAGCCGGCGTACCATCGACATCTAAACCCTGCACCGAGACCTGAAACCCTCTAGGCTTCTTCACCGTCCGCAACTCCAGCCGTCGCGTCAAGATGAAAGATGGTATCGGCACGGCCAAGTATCCCATAACCCTGACCATAAGCTCATCCGCCCTCGTCCAAACCCTCATACTCGCCAACCCATCAAGCGGAGTCATCTGCAAATTACAAACCACCAACTTCCCACCCCTCCTCCTCCCAACCACCTCCGGAATACTATTAGCAGGCGTAACCCTCAAACTCGACCCCAACACCAAACACAGATCCGCCCTTTCCGCATGAGCCCTCGCACGCCCCATCGTCCCCTCAGGCAGATCCTCGCCGAAATGAACCAGAGTATCCATCAACTCCCCCCGACATAAAGTGCATTTCCGGCCGGTACGGTGATTATACACCGTCCTCTCATGACTAGCCACGGCGCGAAAATCCCTGAGGTAAGCCGTTCCGCACCGGCGACAGGTCTCGCGATTACTATTTCCGTGGAGCTCGGAGATGATCTCCGACCGGATCCCGCTACGGCGGTGCAGACCATCGCAGTTCTGGCTGACGAGGTGTTTGAGGTGGCCGGAATCTTGGAGTGCTACAAGAGCCATGTGGGTCGGGGTGGGGATGGCTTGGAGAGTACATTCCGAGCTCGTGGTGACACGTTTGCCTTGGGCTTCGAGCGTCCATTTCCCTTGGGGTCCGCGGAAGTCGGGGATGCCTGCTGCGGTGCTCACGCCGGCGCCGGTGAAGACGATGAAGTGGGTGCTTTTGTGAATCAGGTCGGCGAGTTTTTTGGCTTTTTGGTCGATTTTGTCGGGGAGTTCGAAGGTTTCTTTCAGATCTTCGTCTGCGAGGTGGGCTGAGAAGGCCATGCTTGCTTTGGGTGTCCCCTTCGTAATCGCTCCTGCTACCTCGTGCAAGGGGGATCGAGTGCACCACCCGGCCTTGCCATCGTCGTCGACAAGTGCTTCCCGGGGGTATGTGGACAGCACGATCGTTCAATGTGGCACAGCTGCAATCGATACTCTATACACTATATCAAATCCATGACCCGCCGTAGGCAACGACGGCTGCCTGTCGATCAGCTCGTTGCCATGGCAATATATATTCGTCTCTGGTAAGGCAGTGAAGCCTGAGGCATCCTCCTCTTGGACTTCCTATCCTGTCTTCTGCATTCCGTTCACTACTGAATCAACCACTCCTTGCCGAGGACTTTTCGCAATCAGCGTGAGATTCCACATGTGTCACACGTCGGCATACCAAGCTGCAAAAGGATGCTCATCATTCGTCCTGACCAGTGAGGTGAGGGAGAAGAAGTGGTGGCGCCATGGAGCTGCAAGCCACAATCCTCGGTCATGGCTGACGTTGCCTATATCAGCCATGAAAAGCACTTTTTAATGATCAAAGCGGTGGTAGTGCTACGGCTCTGAGACGAGATCATGGCTCCAGAAACTCCATGGCCGATCTGCAAGATATGCCGAAGCATACCTTACTCAGTCTTCGGCTCAAATTCACAAGAGACTATAGCTCCAGTGCGACTATTCGACTCATTCACTGCTTTGGTCAACTCGGCCGACAGAGGATGTCACGTCTGTACTCTCCTTTATGAAGCCATCCATGAGCCGTACAAAACGCAGCTGGAGACCGCAGTCATCTCGCTCGAAAGTAAGGCAGCTACTGACAGTGGGCCGCGAAATATCCAGATGATGGTAAGCCTGGATACGCCGGATCTTGCTGGTGGGCAGGAGCTGGCCCTACTTCGTCCTTCGAGCTCGAACAGTAGTCTGGAGGCTGTGGCAATCGGAAGTGTGAAGTTCGTGCTCGACTATGACCTCGTGCCCAGGACTGCGAAGAACTATCGGAGTACGGAGCCGAAGTAAAAAAGTGTGCTCCAGCGTATACTCACGAGTGCCACAGATCTGATCAGCCTCTACGCCGACGACGATGGCGCCTTGCGATATATCAAGCAGAACCTCAACGACTGCTTAGCACAGCACAAGAATTGCGATCGTGTGATGTTTCCACTCTCGTCCGCTACTGAGCAGCGAGGACGAATCACTAATATTGTCTCTGGGTCGCGAGGTATGGTTGTCGCACCTACACGACTGATCTCAGTCGGCTCCGAGGACGATCCCAAGGATGTGCCGAAGCTTGTAGACGGAAAAGAGTGCCTCTACAAAGGCGGCTATCTCACACTAAGCTACTGCTGGGGCAATGTTCCTGTGCAAGCACCATGGCTCCTCACGACGAAGACAATGCCCAAGTTCGCAGCCGGTCTACCGATGGAAATCCTACCACAGACACTACACGATGCCATCACCTGGACTCGCAAGCTGGGCGAACGCTATATCTGGATCGACAGCATGTGTATTATTCAAGATGATCCCGAAGACTGGCAACGTGAAGCAGCCAGAATGGCGTCCATATACGGCAGTGCGACACTGACATTAGTAGCAGCCTCGTCCAACATCTACGGTGGACTCTCTGGACGAATAGATCCCTGGCGGAACAGTGCAGCGGCGCTTCCAACAATCTCCAGAACAACCACAAAAGTAGTCTACATACTCCCCAACGGCCAAAAGAGACAATCTACTGCATTGCCACCGACAGGCAGTCGAGGTTGGTGCTACCAAGAGAATCTCCTCTCCTCCCGGCTCGTCCAGATCTACCGCACCTCTCTCCAATGGCAATGTCTAGGCGATAAATCCAATCCTCCCACCCGAGCCCAGGGTCTAGAGCAGCTCAGCAAACATCCACCCGCAAAGTACTACACAATCTGGTACCGCCTTATCGAGCGCTACTCCGGTCTCTCACTGACATACCCGAAAGACAAGCTCCTGGCATTTCACGGCATAGCAATGGATAAAGCCGGTCGAAACTACGTCGCCGGTCTCCTCCAGAATGATCCCTGGGCTAGTCTCCTCTGGTGTCGGGATGAGAACCAGATTCGACAAAAATCAGGTAAACGCTATAACGAGTTCGTCGCACCCGTGGTCGTGGGCAAGCCTCGACGTCCCCATACTCTTCCACGAAGCAGGCGGCAGGAATCTCCGAAAAGATATTCTTGAACCCACGAGCTATGATCCCGAGTTCCACTCTGCAAGTGCCAAGGCTGCATCATACTTCGAGACTGGAGCTATCACAGACGGCCATGTCGAGATTTCCGCTCAATCGGTATTCGTTCGCAGCGCACCGACCAAGCCATTTCTCTTCAACACCAGGCAAGGCAGCCATACATATGGTCGAAGGAACATCGTCGAGGCGACGACGGGCGCGATACTGGGTATGATTGTCTTTGATATTGCGGGCGAGGCACGAGATGGCATGGCAATGTGCTGTGTCCTGCTCCACGTTGTCAACATAGGCTTGTGGGAGAAGAATAGTACGGCTGGCCTCGGGCTAGCATTGAGGATCGAGTTCAGGGAAGGCAAAGTGGTATACAAGAGGGTGGGATATGCGCAGTTCACGTCAACGTTTGCGCATCATTGTCGTTCGCGGGAATTCAATATTGTATGAACGGCGTCAAGCACGAACAGCATGGGGTACATTCGGTCGACGCTCTCCGGTGCGTGGTCATTGATACTGCTACCGTATCACTTACTTGTCTGTCGTCTTCCCTTTCTGTGATACACACGCTACTGCATACGAACTTAGTGGTTTTCGTGTCGAGACTTGACCTCTTGCCAGTAGATCGGCAATGAGGAGCATTTACTTCTGCCGTTCGATGGCCCAAAACTGTGAACGGCCGCCAGCGATGCCCCACACCACTCACTCACGCAATTTTCGCCTTCTCTACATTCTCCCTCATCCCAGCCTCCTTCTCCTCCCTCGCCGGACCCATCCTCTGCACCCCGATACCCTTCCCGTAAACCAATTCAGCACCCAAAGCCGCACTGACAGCCACACCCGGCAACGTGAGCACACTCAGCAGAACTCCCGTCCTACCTGGAGCAAAATTCGGCTGTCGAAGTCTCGACCACACTGCATACCCAGAAACAGCGAAAGCGACTGTATTCAGGATCCCGTGCACAGCTCCGATCTTAACACTCGAGCTAATCACGTCCTCACCACTCTTTCCTGGGTTCGTCATCTTCTTATCCGCGTGATTGAGGCCGCCCTGCTTGTAGATCTCCCAGTACTCTGCCGTGCCGGTGGTCATACTTGGGATGGCAGTGACAACCCCGAGAACGTGGCAGAAATAAGCGAACTGGCCGATCTGAGGGAGGAATGGGGCTACAGCTGCCAAAGCTCGGACAGAGCGGTAGCCGTTCGTGAGGCCGTAGAGAGCATCGAGAGCGTAGGCGGTGGAGAGGAAGGTTAGCGGGTGGTGGACTGTTGCTGGGTGGACGGGATGGCTGCGAGGGTTGTTAGCTGATGTTTTTTCAAGTACATAAGATAGATACTCATTACTTACCTATTACGAAAAGGCCAGTTGAAATGGCCTAGCTCAATGGCTTGATAGGCATCTGATATCAGTCCCATCTCGGAGGATCTGTATGTGGTGATGTAAAAAGGAACAGATACTTCACCAGTCGCCCACACTCCTATACGTACTTGCCGTTATACTCGGACACAGTGACGACTCCTCGCCGTAACGACTATGAGGCAACTCTCGCGTCATCATATGAGGACGGGAGGAGGAGAAGTGGCATACGACCATCTCTTATCCGTCGAGCACACCGACGTATGATGAAGGACTCGCAAGTGTAGCACAGCTTCAGCTCTTGCCAGGTTCATACTATAATGTGCTTGCTGGCCTGCTTATACATAGTTGATGTATGGCAATGCTGGAATTAGTAGTGAGGTGGAAGCTCAGGTCGAGCATCTAGCCCAGATATACCGTGTACCCGCACAGCCGTTCTGCCGGTGTCTCGAATACCTCCCAGGTCTTGACAACTAGGACAACTAGAAAACAAGGGCGACATGCCAGCGGTAGTGTTCGGCATGCCAAGAGTGTGGACAATCAGGAGGGGGTCAAAGAATTGAGAGGCAGAGGCTCAGCATAGAAATTCATGAATACACATATGTCATTAATCTAATCAAAATTTCCGAATCCGTTTTTGCTGTCTCCATGGTCGACCCGTGCTGAAAGGCGGGTCGTCCTGCCTAGACCAAGGTCTATCGTCTAACAGATGCTATGTTAGGAAACAATTCAAGCGTGGCTAGTCGTAGTAGCACTAGAGGTAGCCTTCGAGCTCGACGAAGGAGCAACAGCCATCGGTGTCGTAGCACGGGAAGTACTACTCGTCACGACCACAGAGGAAGTGGAAGATGCCTTGGAAGTGGACGAAGCAGCAGCCGAAGACGAAGAAGCCCGCGAGCTAGCTGAAGCAGCAGCAGAAGTTGTAGCTGGACGAGGGACAGCGTAAATGCCTGTCCCGACGATTTGAGTACCCTGGCACTCAGTCCCAGCAGCTACGGGCTCCCAAACAACCTGACCCCAGTTGCAGAGGCCGAAGAAGTGCTTGCTTGAGTCGCAGACGAGGGCGCCGTTGGTGGAGCAGGGAGCCCACCCGTAAGGAGCCAGGTAGCCGGAGGGAGAGAGCTGAATGCTTGTCTTGGAGGCGCTGGAAGTCGATGCACGGGTCGAAGATGTGATCAAGGTTGTGATTGAGCGAGAGGATGTGCTAGCCAGTGTGGTGGAGATGCTTGCGCGGCTGCTGGTTGACGCCATGGATGACGTTGAGGCACGGCTACTTGTCGAGGCAGGAGTAGATGAAGAGGAGACACGAGTGGTAACGGTTGTCGCGCTGCCTGAAGCAGACATCTGTGGTGCGGCTGACGCGAGCGCGAGGAGGCTCAATAGGCCGGCCATGGTGCTGGTGGTCTTCATGATGGATGGTGCGTATCGACACTGCTAAGATCTGAGGAAAGGGCTGTGTTGCAACGGTACGTAGCAGAATGGATCTGAGCAGGAGAGTATAGGTACTGCTGGTAGTCCCTGGCCTATATGTACCTTACGAGGCGTCCAACACGCCTTGAGGATGCGCAGACTGCTGTGACGTACTATGCTTACGATTTGTGTTCGGCGTCCAGCACAGCCAACGAAGCTATAGGAGCGCGTATTCCGAGCACACATGTGGCCATTTCCAGCAATTTTGTAGGCCTGACGCGGCTGAGCCTGTCCGATCTTGCCTGACTTGGGTCGCCTAAAGAGCAAAGAAGTAATACAGTGACATCTCACGCACCGAGGCACCATTTGGAACTTGCACCATTTCAGTATAGCAACTGTGAGGCATGCACTTGTTGTGGTAGGAGCAATGTCAAATGTGCCGTTTGGTTGTTGTAGCTCCGCACGTTGCAAGCCTGGTTGGACGCCAGTGATTGGACCTGCAGCGTGAGCGTCGATCTCGTAGACATTGAGTGGAAACATATACCGGCGACCTGGCATGTGTATGGAGTATCTAACACTCGTTCGTCAGTCATAAGATGCATGTATGCATAGTTTTAAGCTATTAGAGACAGTTTTGGTGAATGCGATTTACTTGTACCTCGGCGGAGATCGTCATGAGACCATCCATCACTGGTATGTCGACATCGGAGAGTAAGTTGCTTCTTTCTCACCATGGTGACCTTGCAGCCCGACTTGTCTCTGTTCTGCATTGTGCATTGTAGTGCGCTGAACTGCTTGTAAGTGCTTCTGGGAGCGCCGTAGACTTTATGCCATGGCTGCTGTCGAAATATCCCCGCTCCAAAGGCATCTCTGTCCTTTGCGCAGCTTCCAGAGTCGATCCGCCCAGCACATCCATTCCATTCGGTGCAAGTGCACGACCAAGCTGGCCGCCTGAACTACAAGCTATGCTGAAGTCTTGGTGAGACGGGCAGCGCCAGCTCTATAGCGGAAGGCCTGCGTCCATGTTCGTAGATGGAACTTTCGATACATGGATATCGGCAGTGTTGGTCTCTCAGAACGTCGGAACTATGAGAAACGTGATGGATCCTCAGTAGGCTATCGAGAAGTCTTGAAAGCCCACAGCTGCTATCATGTAGTCCTCGCAGATGGCAATCGTAAGGTCACCAGTGGCGGAGAGCACCCATTGTGATTATCCAGGGGACGATGACTGCGTGGGAAGCGATGCTGTGATTATTGTGTCTTCAAGTATGCTCCATCCCGGCAGCTCGCGACCATTAGTGTCCAACATATGGAGGGAGAAGTTGATAGATGCTTCAGGTGGGTGTTGGAATGTTGGAGTCCTCTTTTGGGGATCAATATCACATGACCACGACTTTTGCGCCTTCGTGTGCATCGAGCTTTCTCCTTTCGCGATCGTCCTCGACCAGAATAATTTCATCGCATCGCTCACAATCTTCAACTCCCTTCAACCATCTCGGAGCGGACCAGTCAGCTTTGCTGCCGCAACTGGACAAGCCGCTCAAGGATTCATCGGACTTGCTGCTGCCGCTGGTCCAACCTTTCCGCTGCACGCGCCCGTCGCGCATCTCGCTGCCATCTCACGTGCTCGCATCACTCTTGCCCTGCAGCATCTAAATTTCTCTCACAAAAGCTCCAGACATGACAGATAAACTCCCCCCCAACCTCCTCGCCCTCTTCCAACCCCGCCCGCCGGTAAAATACCTCATCCCCGCCGACCACGCCCCCGAAGACCGCCGCACCGCCCGCATCACCGGCATCGCCGCCTTTCTCCCACAACTCAACGAAGATTTCGGCGATTACAAACCCACCGAGTCATGGCTTGAAGCCAAGGACCGTAAGCAAGTCGAGAAAATAGCGAGGCAGAAACACATCACTTCAAAAGAAGGCGTCAAGGCCATCTACGACACGGAGAAAGATGGCCAGATCCGCGGTGATCCGTACAAGACCCTTTTCGTCGGACGACTGAGCTATGACACCGATATCAAGGATCTGGAGAAGGAGTTTGGGCGATATGGACCGATTGATCGCGTGCGCGTGGTCGTCAACACACGTGATCCGGTGAAGGGTTCTGGGAAGAAGAATACGAAAGGACGATCGAGAGGATACGCGTTCATCATTTTTGAGAACGAGAAGGATATGAAGGGTATGCTTATCTTCGAGTTACTGGTTTTGATTGTGCTGACATGATCCGCAGCCGCATACAAAGCAAACGAGACCCCCATCATTCGCGGCCGGAAAGTGCTCATCGATGCCGAACGTGGTCGTACAGTGCAAGACTGGCGCCCACGACGGTTGGGAGGTGGACTTGGAGGACGACACTACACACGCGCCCCCGTCAGAGGACCAGGAGGATTCGGTGGTCCTCCTTCAGGTCCAGGCGGTTTCCGAGGCGGAGGCTTCCGAGGAGACTTCCGTGGAGGCTTTGGTGGTCGTGGTGGTGGGTTCCGAGACAGGGATGGCGGGCGCAATGGTTTTGGCGGCGGGGATGGGTATGGTGGTGGTCGTGGTGGTGGGTTCGGAGGTGGTGGCTTCCGAGGCGGACGCGGTGGATTCGGGGGCGGGCGCGGTGGGATTGGCTATGGAGGAAGTGAAGGTCCGGATGGTGCACCTGCAGGGCCGAGATCAAGAGGTGGGTTTGGTGATGGAGGTGGGTATGGAGGTGGACGTGGTGGAGGTGGAGGACGTTTCAATGATCGCGATTCTCGCAATGCCAACCTCGAGCCTCTGCCGCCGAGGGGTGGTGGTGGCGGGTATCGTGATCGGGATGGCGCGTCCGGAGGTGGTTCCGGAGGTGGGTATGCCGGGCAGAAGCGTCCATACGATGGCGGTGGGTATGATCAGTCGCGGTCCAGGCCACGATACTGATGTGCAGATACATGGTAAGGCTCTCAACATCGGATGATGACTTCTGGTGAGGTGAGTATGACTGACACAGCAAGACAGCTCTCACAACAGCAGATTTCGACAAAAGCATATCGACCTTGGAACAGAATAGATGGAGCGGTCAACGGTGAGTCGGACTACCTCCTCAGGGTAAGCACCGGCTCGCACTACGACACGTCGACAACGAGAGCCGCGATCGATTAGAAAGGGAGGGTCCGTTTCATTGCTCTGCGTTGTTTTACTACATCCTTCAGTGTTGTGCTTCCGGAGGCGTGTTCGGCGAAACCAGCGACTCGGGCTCGTGATCTATGCCATCCATCATGTACGATAGGGAGTCGAGGCAGGTAGGTAGCTGGCGGGTAAGCATTGTTTGCCTACTACGGCATCGCGATTCCACCCGAAAACACCTCGGGTCGTTATGGGTTTTAGGTACATCCCAAGAAGCATACAGCTTCCATGGTATTAGTACTTGTGCCAGAGACGGAACCGCCATTGAACGCCTCAACACTTACAGTTGCCCTCAATTCCGGATTGCCAGACCAGTCCCGAATCATCATCATCATCATCAACAACATAGCCACGCATATCCAGTATTTCCACTGCCCCACCGCAGAGTGCGGGCCGAATCCATTGACCCAATCGTGAACTTTAACCATTTCTTGAGCTCTTGCTTGCTTGCACAAAAGCGAAGCTCCTCTCACCGCAAAGAAATCCTCGACCGACTCCAATAGCTCTCCAAAAGACACAACGTAACTCGAACACCAACAGACACCACCGCAGACATGGCCTCCTCCCGCCAATTCTTCGTCGGCGGCAACTTCAAGATGAACGGTACAATTGACAGCATCAAGAGCATCATCTCGCACCTCAACGACGCCAAGACCGACTCCAACACCGAGGTCGTCATCGCCCCTCCCGCACTCTACCTCCTGCTCACCCGCGAGCACCTCCGCAAAGGAATCGAAGTCGCCGCCCAAAACGTCTTCGACAAGCCGAACGGAGCCTTCACGGGCGAGATCTCCGTGGCTCAGTTGAAGGATAGTAATATCACGTGGACGCTTCTCGGACATAGTGAGAGGAGGGTGATTTTGCAGGAGACGGATCAGTTTGTTGCGGATAAGACCAAGGCGGCGCTGGATGGTGGCATTGGTGTGATTCTGTGCTGCGGTGAGACGCTGGAGCAGAGGGAGGCGGAGAAGACGATTGATGTCGTGCAGGCACAATTGCAGGCTGCGGCGGACAAGGTCAAGGATTGGAGCAAGATTGTCGTGGCTTATGAGCCGGTGTGGGCTATTGGCACGGGCAAAGTCGCCACGACCGAGCAGGCACAGGACGTGCATGCTGCGATTAGGAAGTTCTTGAAGTCGGCTGTTAGTCAGGAGGCGGCGGACCAGACGAGGATTATCTATGGTGGGAGTGTGAGTGAGAAGAACTGCAAGGAATTGGCTAAGGCGGAGGATATTGATGGGTTCTTGGTTGGCGGTGCTTCGCTGAAGCCGGCGTTTGTTGACATTGTCAATGCGAAGCAGTAGGCGCACTGTGCTGCATTGAGCTGGAATTGATTCGGGTTGATGAAGCGACGATGGCAAAGTGGCCAAGCAGGCGATGTTTCTTTGCCCACGGGACTTGGGACAAAAGGGTAGCTGGCGTCGTGCATGTTATGTCCATGACGCCCTATAGTCCTACGCTAGTGTAACGACGAGATAGACTGCTTAAACGTGTTCTAACGATGGCGATGCTAGCATTACTGACCTTGTCTTAGTCGCACTGTCACCCTTACAACCTTCTAACCCCAACCCTAACCTGCACACCTCGACTCTCCTTGCTCGGCAGGCCCACAAATCCATCTCTCACTGTCGCAAGATCGCGCTCGTAATCAAAGTCGATGAGCTGCAGGTCAAAGTTGCAGATCAGCGTGGCCAGCCCAATATACATCTCGCATAACGCTAGTTCCATGCCCACGCATGCTCTGCTACCTCTGCTAAAACTAATGAGATACTTCTCTAAGCGCTCGCCTCGTTCTGCAGCCTGCAGCCAGCGGCTGGGGTTGAAGTGGTATGGATCCGGGAAGATTTTCTCGTCAAAGCAGACGTCCTGGAAGTTCATGGAGTAGTACGTCTAGTACTGTCAGCTTGGCCTCGTTTTCGACTCGAACCTGCTTACTCCTCGTGGGATCACGATGCCGTTCAATGTCATATCCTCCTTCGGCGCCATTTGCGTCGCACGATTCATCACTGGACATGCCAGCCGGACGCCCTCCTGCACTATGGCCTTCATCAATGGGACAGCTTCCAGGTCTCGGTAAGAGGGGCGTCCAGCTTTCATGACGCCGTCTAGCAATCCTCGCAACTGCGCTAGCAGGCTGGGATCTTGCAGCAAATGCACCAATGTCACAAGTGTCACCTTCGCTGTGGTCTCGCCGCCCGCCATGACGAGCACGAACGCTTCGTCTGCTAGCCGATCCATGGACTTGTCTACAGAGCGCAAGTTGCTGTTCATGATGCCGTGGAAGACAGTCCGGGGTCGACGGTCATCTAGCTGCTTCTCGCTCACACCACCACGCGAAGCCTGAATCTCCTTCCAGACTCTATGCGATACTGCATCTGCTCGCTGCTTCGCTGTGACGAACACGCCAGCGTTCGCGTTCAGCCGCTTGATGAGCCATAGTGGGATGGAAGACATGATCGATGCGATAGCCGGGATGTGCTTCCGTAGCGGCGCTTGAGAGAACCCCTCGAGCATTACCTGGTTCCACTGTACTCCCAAGTCCGGCGTCTTGAGAACATGCCAAGCCTCGTCGTACACATACCTCGTGACGACGTCCATCGTCACGGCACCAAGAGCGGCTCCCAGGTTCACGATCTCACCACTGTCTGCACGCTCAGCCATCTTTGCTCCCAGCAGCTCGAATGCTTCCCACACCTGGTATCCAAGCTGATTAATGGCTGCTTTGGAAAAGTACGGGTTTATGGAGGATCGTCTTGCGCGATGGACATCGTGCTCTAATGAAGAAGCGACAGACCCGACGGAACCATTGCCTCGATTTGTGCGCACAGATCTGTCGCGAATGTGACCAGGTCCTGCGTAGAGGACATCGAACCATTCGGGATCGGAGATGTGGACTTCTTCAGGATTGATACGGATGATAGGACCATACTTCCGATGTAGCTCTTGGATCTTGTAATTGTACTGACCACCTGGCGACTTGAAGACGTCGTAGTAGATTTCGTAGCCGAATGTTGCTGCTGCCAGTCGTGGGCCCGGGAACTTACTAAGTGGGTGATGGAACATGCGATAGATGAGAATACATGCCGTCCATATAGTACCAACACCAAGACTCAGAACCAGCAGTATCAACATACTAGGTGCCATGCTTGTACCAGAGTGCTCGTCGCAGTGTAGGAATAACAAGACAAGTGCTCCTGGAGCACACCTGTCTATCCATAAATATGGTTGCTACAGTCTGGGTTTGGAATCAGGCCTCCAGCAGACCTGCTATTGGCTGAGCTTAGCCAGACAGCCCTATGGCATGCATTTACGATTCGTTTCTGCACCTTCGAAGCTTGCTGTGAATGGCACTTCTCAGCCCCAGAGCTACTCCTCTCCATGGGTATCCAGCTTGTAAGATTGTCCAAACGCTCGGAGTATGCGATTCTCTAGTCACATAACACGAGGCAGTGACGCAACACGATCGTGGGACAATGCATGCATGAGCCAAGGCCGGTGCGATCATATCTGCGATGCTCTCGAGCTCATGCTCATCTAAACCGAGACGTCGTGGCGCTCGTTCATTGCTGCAAACAGCGCGTGACAAGCTTGCATCAAGCAGCTTTACACGGCTACGTGGACATCTCCGTTGTGTGGTGGAACATGGGGCCCGTAGTATTTAATTGCATGCGAATCCGATCTGGGCTGTCAGGATCAATCAGGACGCGGTACTCGCTTATGCAGCGCCACTACGCCCATACGGATATCTTACACCCGCTCGAAAGCGCGCAGGCGTACTACCGTGCCTCTCTGCTGTACGGTGTACTCGCTATCTTCTCTCACCAAACGTACATCACCAATAATGATATTGTATACACAAGAGCTCGTACCATGGCCGAGTTGAGGCAGGATACTGTTCAAGACACGCCCTGGAGGTCCGCTCGACTAACCTATCGCGCGATCGAAGCCGAGGACGAGGCATTTGTTCACGACCTGGTGTCGGAGCCGCAGAGCTACATCAATTCGCAAATAGGCGTAAAGAAGCCACAAGGCCGACGTGACTCCAAGAAGTTCTACGACTTTCTCATCAACGAATGTCTGCTTGGGATGGTCGTGTGTGTCACTGCGGAGGCAGACAAACCTTTCGGCCTGGTGAACTTGACCGGACTAACGAGCGAGCTAGTCCAACATCGCTACAGCGAGTTCGGTCTAAGCTTGTTGCTTTCGCATCAAGGCAAAGGCTATGGGTCGGAGGTGATACAGTGGGCTCTACGCTGGGCCTTTCAAAGGCGGGGCTGCATCGCGTTACGGTCAAGGCCTTTGAGTACAACGAAGGCGCACGCCGGCTGTACGAACGACTTGGCTTTACTCATGAAGGCACAATACGCGAGACCTCGTGGTACGATGGCCGTTGGTGGGCTGATTACGAATATGGGATGATCGAGAGCGAGTGGGGGGCGAAACAGCCAGTACAGAAGGCTCTACTTAAAGCGATGCAGCCTTGATGCCCAAGCATCGATCAGCAGCGAATCAGTATATTCTCTTTTCAGCTTGACTTCACTGTCCCATGCTGGTGCCATGAGATCTTTATCATGCTACTCGGCTCTGACTGTGAATGCGACCTGTGTCTTTGCCCTGCAGGACGCACAGTCAGCGTGCATATCTTTATCATGGCATCCACATTGCCAACACCAATGACCAGTTGCTTCACCGCATTGGCAACTTCTCCAGCTGCGGAACCGCGTGTGCAGCATGATCCATCTTGCAACCATAGACGACTGATCGGTGACAGTTTAGGCGAAGTAAGGTGCGCTGCGATCACGACAGTCCTGTATGTGGGCGATGTACACGTCTGAAGATATCCGAGCTCTGCTTGTATGCGCCTACGTCAATAACCCAGCCTTGTCCTCCTCACGACGGCAAAGTAATGTAGACCCTTTTGCCAGTGGTCGTCCATCTCGTCGTCGAAGGGTCAGGAACCCAAGTCGCACAAGATGCTGTTTCTTTTCTCTTCAGTCAATCGGTCTGATCACACGACGGACATTCCACAAAGTATGGCCGCTGCCAGCCGCTTCCACATCCCTAGCCACGACGTCCCGGATGACTCTATGAGATCCTCTGATTCGGAATTGCTGCGTGTGCTCTTGGACAAGCATGTTGAAAACGTGGCAACAGGACCATGGTTTTGGCTGACAGACATGAGAGAGCTGTGTTACAACAGGGCGTTGGCATGAGGCGGAGGGTACTGACGGGATCTGCCTTGGCGGTGCTTCGTTGAATCCGGCGTTCGTGGACATTATCAATATGCGAATCAGTAGGTGTGCTGTGATGATATATGTATGCATGAGCTGGAGAGACTTGAGTTCGGGACGTGGCCAAGCCAATCTTTGTTGTTCTGCAGGCCTCAGGGCGAAAGGAACCTGGTACCGGCGGTTGCGTCGTTTTCATTCTCGAAACGACTTGTGGCTGTATACTGGCCTTGCGACGAGGTAGATTGCATGAATGCAATAGACCGCTGACGGTGCTAGTGACATAGTTATGTGCTGTATATACCAGCAACAAGTGCCGTTAATGGTAGCACTCGGCACATCCAACGAGAGTTGTGACTACCTGATCTTCATCACCTCGTCACGGGGCAATGTCGTCCTAGTGTTGGCGGTGCTGGTGTCAACGGCCTGTGAGATTTCATTGCTGGTTGTTGGTGAGTGGAGAAGAGACCTGATGTGTAGTTCCCGGCCAATCCACTCTATTCGACCGACTATTGAACCCATTTTGGGCGGAGAAGGCTCTCCGCTCATGCTGACTCGTGTGCTAAGAGGCGAGATTAGATTTCCCGGGTTTCTTGATCGCACGAGTCAGGTCGCTTCTGTTATCTCCCGCCGATGCGCCTTTCATTCTGCCGTCTTCAACACACTACCACTTTTCGAGGTTCTATAGCTTCACCACCATCGCAAACAGTATCTCGAAGTCGTCACTGATGACAGTCTTACCACTGAGCCATCCAGGCAACACAAGAACCTTGCCTCGTCGAGCAACGATGGCGGTGCTTCCAGCCAAGCAGATCTCGGACCTTCTAGCCAAACCTTAACCACACATGTCGACCTGGAACCGGTGGGGAGCACGAGCCTTCTTCCCAATTGATTGCTTGGAACAACATCGGCTTTTCCTCGACAGATTTTCGTGAGATGAAGGCTTTGCCACGATCCTTGCCGCGGTGCACTGATGCACGTAGCGCATGTATAGCGGATGCCGCCTGCACGGTAAGTGGATGCATCCGAATGCTTGCCTTTCATATACTTCAGTGCAGCCTTGCTCTCCCTTGTCGTCGTCCGCTCCTTCTCACGCAGGGTCTTTCCATTGGGTGTAGGTTTGTTCCAAGATGTCGAGTGCTGTTGCTCTGCCTGCGGCGGACTACGTGATCTGTGGTGGTGGTGAGTACTACACCAAGGCCTCAAGGTGATGGTGTAGCTGATGAAATTAAAGGCACCGCTGGTCTCGTGCTCGCGAACAGGTTATCCGAGATCCCGTCTGTCAGCGTCGCTGTCCTCGAAGCAGGTCTCGACCGCTCAGATGACCTCAATGTACTGGCTCCGGGTCTCTTGACTGCCCTCTACGGCAACCCGGATTATGATTGGATCTTCTTCAGCACACCACAGCCACATATGAACAACCGGATCATGGGCCATCCTCGTGGTAAACAATTGGGAGGCTCCAGCGCAATCAACTATCTGGCATACACTCACGCTGCGCAAAGCGACATCAACAACTGGGGTGCTCTTGGTAACCCAGGCTGGTCGTGGGATGAGCTATTTCCTTACTATAACAAGTCTGAGATCTTGACTATTCCTGGTAGCAAAGTCGCTTCGGATCTGAACACATCTTACCTCGAGCCACAACTACACGGCATGAACGGACCGATCATGAATGGTTTCCCGGACGAGTACCACCCACTTGACGAGGCATGGCCACGAACATATGCCAACCTTGACATTGCTGTCGGCTCTGACCCCAAGGATGGCGTTGCCCTTGGTGGCTACACGCTCCTTACAAATCTCGATTTGCACAACAACACTCGTAGCTACGCTGCTACCGCATACCTCAATCCTATCAAGTCTCGCCCAAACTTGAAGGTGTACACAAATTCCCTGGTAACAAAGGTCAACCTCAATACGAGCAAGCCTATGCCTGTCGCTTCTGGTGCGAGCTTCTCCGTCAACGGCACAGCATACACCATCAACGCGAATAAGGAAGTCATCCTTAGCGGTGGTAGCTTCGGCTCTCCTCACATGCTCGAGGTTTCTGGCATTGGAGGCAAGAGTCTGTTGTCGTCCCTCGGCATCGACACGGTTGTCGACAATGCCAATGTTGGTGAGAATCTTCAGGACCACGTCTACATGCCTTTGGGGTTTGAGGTTGTCGACGGCGTATTCACTCTCGACGAGCTTGCCAACGAGACCATCTTCAACGCGGCATACGACCAGTACCTAGCCAACAACACTGGTCCTCTCGGTCAAGTCGCTCTTGGCGGCGCTCTACTCTCGAGCCAACAGATCTTGCCTGACACCGTAGCACGTAACGCTTTTGTGACAGATGTGAACACAACTGTGCAGCAGAACCCAGGATCGACAGACTTAGAGAAGGCGCAGTACAAACTCATCCTACAAGATTTTTTGGCCGGCCACGAAATCGCACAGCATATGAACTTTGCCAGTGGCACAAACCCGGAGTTCGCCAACGATACGACCAAAGTCTTTGTCTCGCCCAACCCTGGCAACTTCTTCACCATGTTAGGCGTGCTCGAGCACCCATTCTCTCGCGGCACTGTCCATATCAACTCCTCTGATCCCACAGTTTACTCGGTCATCGACCCACACTACCTCGAGCACCCAGCCGACGTCAAGGTCCTTGCCAAGATCGCCCTCCACATCCAGAACATCCTGGTCCAGACAAAGCCTCTCTCCGATTTGCTAATGGGCAACGGCACAATCCTACAGCCAGTGTACAACAAGCTCACTGACGCCAACGTCGAGTCCGAGATCCGTCGCTTGCTGCAAAGCGAGTATCACCCAGTCGGCACATGTGCCATGCTTCCCAAGAAGAACGGGGGTGTCGTGGATGCAAGGTTCAGAGTCTACGGTGTGCAAGGCCTGCGAGTCGTGGATGCCAGTATTTTTCCTCTGCAGCCCCGTGCCAACTTGCAGACGCTTGTCTATGCCATTGCCGAGCGCGCGGCTGATTTCATCAAAGATGATATCGCGAGACCTGCGCCGCCCTCACCGCCAGTTGGGCCGCCAGATCCTCCTACTGGTCCTCCAGGTGGTCCTCATGGTGGTCCTGGCAAGCCGCCTGGGACCAGGAGACAAGGAGGAGGTGGTTGGTAAGCCTTCGCTTGCACTGCCCAGGGTAGATAACCTCTTATAGATTTTTCTTATCTTCATACTTGCTTGTTGGAATACCATAGCAAAGACCATTTCTACCAGAGTCCGCACAACCGCCTTCATTGCTCGCTCCAGGAGTCATCTAAACATCACACACAAGCAGGAGCCAACACGTGATTCTATCTTTGCATACGGCGGTACATCGATATGTAGACCTTCTGGTAATCTTGCTGCGCTCATTATCATCCCTTTGCGCGGCCGCACAAGACGTTACAGCTACTCTACCAACCAGCCTTACAAAGCCCTCGGTACAACAACGTATTACACCGAACATCCAGCATTGAATCCTCAACACTAGAAACCGAAGATATTCTTATCCTCCTCAAACCCCCAGTCTAATAAGCCAGGAGTCAGCAAGTAGTAGTCAACTTCACCATCATCCGCAAAACCAAACTCACCTCTTAAAGCCGGCAAAGCAGCTTTCTGAATCATAGCTGGCGGCCCACACATGAAGCACGCCGTCCCCTCACCAGGCGGGAACAAATTCTCCTTGATGATATCGGCATTGACATGTCCCTTGGTTCCCTTCCACCCCTCACTAGGATGACTTAGCACATGCGTGATCTTCAAGCGGCCTTTGCTCTCTTGCTCGAAATGGTCCAACTCCTCATGTAGTAAGATATCCGCCTCGGACTTATTAGCATCGATGACTCTGACCTCCACGTCCTCGTTCGCGCCTAGTAGAGCTCGGGCGATGAGAGCGTACCCTGGTGTCAGGCCCGAGCCTCCAAGGACGAGGTTGATCTTCTTGAAGGTCATGTCTTTTCCTGAGATGTTGAAAGCGCCGTTGCCGTTATAGACAATCTCGCCTGTGGGGCCACGAATCTCGATCTCCTCCCCAATGGGTACGCAGTCAAGGATATTACTCATGGCGCCACCGGGCTGCTGGTCGTTGGGGAAGTAAGTCTTAATCACGAGCTCAAAAGTGCCCTGGCCATCCTGCATAGATTCGATCTCGCCACTTGGTGGTCCAGTAGTGCCATTCGTGGTGTGGCCACTTTGCGAAGCCTTCTCGTCTTTCTTCGGATCCGGCAGTAGAGGCTTGGTAGGTGTATATGACCTGATGAGCATCTTATCCTTAAGATGAAAGCCAATTTGGATGTGCTGGCAAGTCCCCAGTCCCAAATCTTTCATACCATCAGGCTGCGCGAACGTGTAGCGCCTAGTGTCCTTACTGAGCTCTTCTCGTTTCATGAGCTTAACCGGCACCCATCTATGCTTCTGTAACACGACATCTCCACTCTTACCCTTGGACTGCGCCAACTCCTTCGCCTTGGCCTCAGCGTCTGCTTTCATGAAAGCGGCTGCCTTGTCCGTGACGACACCCAAGACGCACTCCTTGAGCTTCGAGTGAGCAAAACCGTCATGAATACTCGCAAACTCATCCGAAGTCTCCTGGTGCACTTGGCCAGCATGTCCCACAATAGCCGCCTTCCCGCCCGGATGCCAGGCAAGAACACTGGTAGCATCGTACACTTTCCCATCAACCACGAGCCAGCAGTCGTTCTCGGTATTATGCTTTTCAATCTCCTCCCTCGTGAATTGCTTACTCGGACTTCCAGCGTCCTGTTTCGCCGCCGCAATCTTACTCTCCTCGCTCGGCTGCATCCACCCGCCATCACCCGTGCCAGGCTCAACAGGATGTCTGAACAGAATCGACGGTTCTTCGTCATCTCTGCCTTGGTTGATCTCGGGTTTCACAATGTACCAGCAATTATTCATCATGCCCATAGTGTTCCAGCTAGGCTTCTCCGGCTGCGTGTTCTTGAAGACGTTCCAGGCTCGGACACTGATGTCTTCTGCTCGAAGGAGATGCATGACACTGACATCCACGTACCAATGCAGCCAGGTCCAGAATTTGTTACCGTGCCTGATCGGATAGTCCGGAAACTTGCGAATACAATATAGCCATGTCTTGCCGCCGTCTAGGCTGACCTCTACCCGTTGCACTTCGTGCCCGCCACCATCATATGCATAACCCTCGATGCGGTACGTATTGCCTTTCTTCGCTTTAGTAAGCGCGATTTTCTCGCCTTGCGCAGGCTTCACGATGACTGAATTGAGATTCTGCTCATTGCAGGCAGTATCGGGATGATTGAACATAGTGTTCGCGAACTCGCCATCTTTCTCCGTGATGAAGCTTGGCAGAACTCGGTTATCCCAGATATGGTAATGGCTTTCGTTCTCGTATTCAGTGATCCAGATCTTCTTCAACCACTTCACGCATCGTCCACCGACATAGCCAGGGATGAGCAGTCGGACTGGGTATCCGTGATCGGGTGGAAGTGGTAAGTCGTTCATCTCGTGTGGTAACATGACATCGTTCGAGGCGTCCATGGCGTATTCCAATGGTATACAGGTCTCATACTTGCCTTCCGATGGATCGTCCGCACCTTGGAAGTTCACCCATCGTTGCTTGCCTTCGCCTGTATGGCTGACATCTTGCATGCCAGCAGCGAGCAGCACGTCTCGCAGTAATGGGCCTTTCCAATACACACAACCAGTGGCGCCAGCACCCCAGCTAAAGCCTTTAGACTTCCTGATCAGATTGAGCTCTTTCCGTCTGTTGCCATCGCATGCCAGTGACACCGGGATATTGACCTGCTCGAACTTGTTCTTGAGATCGTCCATGGATAGTGTAAGCTTCTTGCCATCACCTTCCACCTCTAGTTGATGAAACTCCCAGAGTAGTCGTGGCACGGCACCATGATTCCGTACGTAGTGTAGCTCGTTTGGCGTGATCAAACCACCCTCATATAGAGAAGTAAGCTCTGACTCGGCGTTCAGCGGATGCTTTCCAGTCAGACGAATGAGCTTGTCGGATCGTGGGAGCCAGTTATCTGGCGAGAACTGATCTTGTTCGTCGATGGAGATGGTGGTTCTGTTCTCCGTCTGCGGACTTTTCCGCTTCCCATCATTCTGCTTTAGCGATTTCCGATAATCCTTTTCGTGCTGTAGCGCCCGTAGAAGTGCAATTTCTTGCGGCGAGTATCGGTCTAGCAGCTTCTCGTATTCCGACTTCTCCTTCTTCTCGCCATGCTCCTGCTGCTGCTGCTGCTGCTGCTCGTCACGAGTAGCATATGCATCGTGGTGCTTCTTAGCGTTACCCTCTCCTCTCTGCCAATCTGTCTCCTCGTGCTTGTCCTCGTTCGGTTGCTCAGGATGCTCGCTCTCTGCCTTCATCTGAATCCCATCCGACGTATGCTGTTCTTTCTCCTTCTTAGCCTGCTCCTCTTTCTGCTTCTTTTGTACGTTTGCAGGCCATTCTTCTTGCGTCTTGATCCAATCCTCGGTAGTATCTAGAACATACCGCCAACCCAGACTACGATTATCCGGGTAGCGTAGATGGAAGTCCTCCTCGCCTTCAATCACATCACGAAAGTTGACAAGGTCGCCGCGCTTTTCCCAATCCTGCAGCTGCTTGTACTCCTTTTTGGCTTTCTGTTCGAACTCTTCTTCCGTTTGGCTACTCGAAGATCCATTGCTCAGTCCAGGTAGCTCTCCTTCGTCCTCATCATGGGTAAGACCGGGCAGACGATCCTGACGGTTCCGCATACCAATACGATGCTCATGGCTTCGAGTCCAGTCTGGTTCATCCTTGATATCCTGCGCGGAGGAGCCTGGATGGCTTTGGACCTGGACTTTCCAGGGTATATGATGTGGCATCGTTATTCAGACGCAGAAGTGCAGCAATATGGAAGAGATGAGGAATGTAAGATGTGAACCTAGGAGAGGAAACTACAGCACCTCCTTCAACTACTGCCAACCAGAGCCATGCAGAGACACTCACCGAGGAGCGGCAAGACATGACGCTGTTCCTACCATTGCCTTTCGACGGCACGTTGGTGCAGCTCAAAGTCAATCTTTCGAGCCGCATGAAGACAAGGCGAGAAGGTGATATATACCCTCTTGCTTTGTGCATGGTCACATAGCTCACGTCCTTGAGGTTGCCGCTCTCGGCGGTCCACGGCCAATATTATCCTACAACACACATTTCATGCTCGTGAATAATAATATCACGGATATGTGTAAAGACGAAAGTGTACAGAACCGGAGAAAGCATTTCTGGGGCAAGTGGAGTTCAAGCCACAGTACGTAATTTTGGCCCGGAAGTGATCCGACAGGAGGAGTGAGCTCAGGCACGAGACGAGATGAGACGAGATGAGACGAGACGAGAACGAGATGTTGGGGAGGGAACACACTATACATACTGCACATACTTCTACATCTGCTCTATTTGTTTTGTTCGGATCACACTGAGACAGCCCCCGCCAGTAGCACCGAATAACTCCTTGCGCCTCCCAAGAATCCCATGACCTGCACGACGAAGGATACGATCGCAAATCATCACATCAAGTGCCTCATGGCACTCACTCCCTACAAATCCGGGCGATCGATCACCTCAAAGACATCTTCTACGGAAGCATGGGAAGCGCGGCCGCCACGTCGCAGATTCAATGGCTCAACATCTCCATTATCGGTTGGCGCCAGGTCGCTCTTGTCTCTTGTCGCCAGTTCTGACTGCCCGTTGTTCGGCGCAGAGCGCTGAGATGACGGACCTGCAACAGGGTCCTGTAGTGTATCTACGATCTCTGCTTCACCAGAAACATCTCCATCAACATTGCCGCACTTCTTCAACGCCGCCTGAAGTCGCATAGTCTGATCCTTTTCCTTCATCCACAGGTCATAGTGAAAGGCCTCGTTCCTCTGCGCGTTATGGAGCTCACCACGAGAAGCTCCTTGGTAGGCATTTTCGCGAGTACGCAGAGCACTAATAGTCTGCTGATGACTGATCTGCAACGCCTCGATATGCTGCTCATGCTGGACCTGCAAAGCATTCATATAGAACTCATGATTACCCTGCTGAGCCTCGAAAGTCTGCCGTGCATGAAGCTGGGTCTGCTGGCGCGCAAAACCACCACCAATGAGCCACCCATTTACATGCGACTGAAATCTGGCAGTCGCCAACTCGGCTTGGTGTCCGTGGCGGACAGTGCGAGGGTTGGCTTCAGTCAGTTGAGCGGTAGTCCTGGCCTCGTGGCGAAGGGCTCTGAGCCCCTCCATGTGCGTGTGATGCTGCGCCTGGACCTTACTGATTACGATGTTGAGTGTGCTGTTCAAATCGTCGAACTTCTTTTGTGCGTCGGCTTTGGTTCGCTCAAGCTCCTGCGCTGCTTCAGTCCTCGCGCTCCAAAGTGCGTCAATGGTCTCGTTCCTCGGTCTGCGAGCCTCCATCATAATCGACTCGGCTGTCCGAATCTCGAGACGCGCTCGCTCAAGCTGCTCGTTTGACGTGCGTAGAGAATTCGCGGTCTCTTCCGACCCGGCCTGCTCGGTCTCGTACGCTACCCTCCAGCGATCGACTCTAGCTGTCGACTCGTCATTGCGAGCCCTCTCCTCGTCAAGCCTCCTCTGGACCTCAGCAGTTTCCCTCCGAGCAGCAGCAGTCGATTTTCGCTCATTGTCCATTTTCTTGTGACTTGCTTCGAAAGCGGCATTGTCCGTAAGCAGGACTTCGGATAAGTGCTCGATCAATTGCTGGTACTTTAACTCCGCAGCTTCTCGACGATGCCTCTCCGCTGCAGATGATGTTTCGCTACGCTGAAGAGCCGTCTTGATGTCTTGTAAGTTGCGGCGAGCTTCGGTGAAAGCGTTTGAGATGTCTTCTAATTGATTTGTGGACATGATGTCTGCCATGGTATTTGCATATCCCGTAGGTACGAGACATATCGATATGTATACTGTATGAACATGATACCCAGGACAGGGACCAGAACATATTTATCGGTGCATGCATCAGGGATGAGGACAACTGAATGTTATCCTCAACCTTCTATGCTATATCGATTGGCTGGCGGACGATATTGTATTTCCTGTTCGACTGCAGCACAACGGATCTGGCATAATTACAGTACTATAAGCAAATCAATGTTGCATTCTCTCGAATGATAACTTGCGTTTCGATATATCCGTTGTTATACATTCATGGATTTTCTCTCCGTCAGCCTGCCTAGGCGTTAGATTGCAAGCCAAACTTTCAGAAAGCCTAAGAACGACTTTTCGATCATGCTTCCTCGATACGGACAGTCATGTGTTCCTTCTCCGACACGAGAACGGTCGATGCAACATGATCCGAGAATTCTAGGTGTAAGTGTCAGCGAAACACTCTTATATTCGACCCTCCAACATAGCATCGATTGAGACTTACGATCGACCGAAGTGGACACAAACTTGCGTGCAGGGACCCTGTTCTCAAACAAGAGATCGATCTCGCCAAAAGTTCGGTCTTTCGTCTCCGGCAGTCTGAACCAGCACCAAATGTTGCAAAGAAGATTCGTGCCGGCGTAGAACAAGGCCGTTTTCGCACCCCAGCCCCATCCAACTGGCGATACCATTCTATTGCAATCATCAGCACTGATCTCAGCTCAGTATACCGGCTCGAAGACTTACCGAGGTGTCAAACAAGACTGGACGATACCCGTCAAGTTGTACACGACACGGCCGATGGCAATGGTCTTGTATCGCAATCGTCCCGAAGGAGTCTCTGCCACGATTGGGTAGCAACTGTGAAACACCGTGTCAGCATTGTCAGGAGCAGCGATAACGTCGTCTGGCAAACCTACGCTGGGCCAGTGGAAACCAAATTGATTAGTGTGCTTACAACGAACAAGATCGCGATAGCCACTTGCGCATGTTGACTGCTCGAAAAAGCCAGACCTCCGATGACGACTAGGAGCATCATCATGCCCAGATTGCCAGACATGTAAATGGTCGCGCGACCGAAGTGCGGAAACAAACACCAGCAGATGACACCGCCGATGATGTAGCAAGCCGAGAGAGCAATGTTGATATCGAAAGCTTGAATGGAACTGAACCCAGCCGACTCGAGGAAAACGACGGAGAAGTTGAGCAGAGCGTTACCACAAAGGATCTGAATGGCCCAGACCATACAGTTGATTTCGGTCCGGCGTAAATTAGTTCCCTTGAAGCAGTCGATGAAACGAGCACCTTCGGTCTCCGCACGCTCGAGCTCAGTAGTGTAGCGAATGTAGCCCAGCTGCGCCTCAACTTTCTGCTCTTTGTCGGCCGACTTTGGCAAGAGGCGGTGCAAGCTCTTCCTGGCGAGATCCATCCTACTTTGTCGGACGGCGCTCCAGGGCGACTCGGGAGCGAAATATGTGCCAATTAAGAGAGGTACAGGCCAAACCCACTGTAGGGCGAAGGGTAGGCGCCAAGCAAGATCCCCGGGGACTGTGACAATCGCTCGAATAACGCCGGAGGACAGCAGGATGCCTGTTCCCCAGCACATACACACCCAGGAAGTAACATAAGGGCGCAGGACAGTGGGTACAATTTCGCAGGCGTACGTGGTCGATAAGGTCTAAGTTGCGTTAGTATGAGACAAGCGTACTATGTTCCTGAGAACTTTGACTCACCTGGAAAACACCTAGAAGACTCCAAGTCAGCGGGCTGGGTACGTAAGAGATCAGATCAATGCTTACCCCAGGAGACACCACACATAGCCTCACCAAAAGCGAGGACGCTGAGATTTGGCGCAAAGAATGGAATAAATATAGCGAGAGCCATCCACACCAAGAAGAACATCATAGTCGACCGGTTACCAAAACGATCTTGTGCCCACATGTTGATGGCCAAACCCGCTATCTGTCCCACCAGAGCAGAATTACTCAGGCCAGACTGCCATGCCGGCGAGATGAGCTTGGTGCCCGGTTTGGCTGGGTTGGGGACACCGAAGCGATTCTGGAATTGTTCGAGGCCATAGAAACTGTTGATCTGTAAAGCGGGCGACTCTTAACACCATGTTCTGTAGAGAGAAAGTATGAAGGAAGTGACATACCGTGACGAGGTCAAATCCCTCCATGACAAGAGACAAGGACAGAAACATGGCCCAGGCCACGGGCGCCTTGTATTGCCTCAAGGCCTGGCGAAGGGTCAATTCTCTATCAGCTTCGTCTCCATCGCGAGCCTGGGAAATCAGGTGCTCGAAGTCGACCTCTTCAACAGAGTTCTTGTTGGTGTCGTGCTTGTTAGGCGCGTTGTCTGCCATGGCTGTCATTCAGGTAAGCAGTAAAGCAATATTGGGAAGTGGATGCACGTTCTACGACTCGCACCATTTGTGCGCGACAACGACTGATCTTATACACCACGTCAAGCACAACCGGTATACTAGCGTGTAGGCATGCGGACATATTCCAGGCCATCCCCAGTGTCGCTCGTGGAGAACTTCGGTATGTTTGGTCGTTGCCGCCGGGTGGGTTTTGCGGGGTACAGCCATATGTCGCAAGGGTGCGGTGAACGCATTGCTTTCACCCTCCGGAGCCGGTGGGGTCAGCCAATGACGCGATGACTATCAAGGGGTGCAGGGACCATATCTAGGAAGAACGAATCGTAACCATGAAAATAACCTACCGGCGCCTACACCACGTGAGCTTCAGCAGGCCGAGTCCTCGCATGTCAATACGTCCCTACCATGAGTGGAAAGCTTGTATAGCAGAAGTGGACGAGATTTTGCCTCTGCTGTCTCGTGGCATGACTTACTAGGGCTGTTGCACGCCACGGCGATCCACAGCCTCCAACGCTTCCTTGAATCTCGTTTTCGCGGTCCCCGCAGTCTGCAGCACAGTTGCGGGCATGCCAGACGTGTCGATATTTTGCAGCTCCACTCGCATCCTTAACTGATCGATTGATCGACTAATTCGGGATATCGCTGCTGCGCGGCGCTCGAAGCGCTTGCAAGATCCAGACGAAAGGCGATGCTCACGCAGGAGCAGTCGAACGTCTTCAAGGTCTGTAGCCTCTGGGCAATAGCTCACTTCCATGCCCGAGACAGTCATTTCTCAAATCTAGCTTCGCTGGGCCCCGAGGCCCATCGTCCTGCAGTTGTCGTACCATTCCCCGGTCCAAGATCGATCACAACAGCCTGTAAGTACAACACAGTAATCGTGCTCAGTCCCGTGTGACATGAGGCATAGCATAAGCAGATCCCCAGCCTGCCAGCTCCATGTACGCTACCGCTGCTTACAGTAACCCTCCTTGGTGACAGACGTCCGCTATAGAACATCTGTGTAGTATCCGCGTGAATTTCCGGCATGTTCTCAAGAGACCTGTATGGGCACTTGAGGCTGTAGGTCGCGCGAGATGGCCTGTTCTTACAGTTTTGACGGCCGCATCAATGAGCACGAGCTCATAGATGTGGCTACGGAGTTCTGCCGGAAGCTTGGAAATCGGCAAGTTGTCCACGATCTTGGGTAGATGTTACTGAAAGCTGATCGTGTTGAGTGGTGACTAAAGGCGTCGTGGTTGGTCCGGTTCAGTGAGTGAATTTAGTCAGTCGCACGTGCATGAGTGAACGCACCTGCCACTTTCAATCATTGTATCACTAGCGCTGAAGAAAGCTTCAGCTTCAGAAATATTGCCTGTACTCGGTGTTTGTTTCAACCTTTCATGTCCCCAAGTTATCGACACAAACCAAAAGTATCTCAATCGTCATTGAGAACTCGACCCTGAGCAGACTGCCGCCGGAGCTTCGCAACCCAGTCTAGGACTTGGTCTTTGGTCCAAAGCGCACGATACGCCTCTTCCTTCGCTTGAAGTCACGGCCAGTCTGCATGTATCAGGACTCGATGCACATCGTGGAGTACAAAGAGATCCAGGACAGATTGGCCATCACAATGCTGTTTCGAGAGATGCGACAGGAGGCATTACCAATGTTCTATGGAACCTGGCATTTTGCGATTCAAGTGGACGCGCTATGTGCTAGAGTTCCTGAGCATGATTCGGCAAATTTCCTGAAGAAGCAAGACAGTATGATCTTGCGGAAGGTAAACCTGTTAGACAAATGGTTGTCTGGCAGAGGGAGGAGAAGGACTCGCCGGCTTATCACGGTGACGTTGAACCTGGGCTATGCAATGTTCACCGAGCCCTCAGATCAGTGGCAGAACTTCACAGACCTCTGGCAAATCTTCCAGCGCCACGCGCATCGCCACGGTCTCTCGGGTCTTGGGAACATTCACTTTCGGTCCGCCATGCACTGTCGTGTAAGTCTTGTCGAATCACAAGATCGAGGGGTCACCATACATTATGAAGGCCCGATCGCCATTGGTGTGGCGAGAGGCAGGCGACTATGGTTTTCTCGAGCATACGGAGTCTTGAATAGATTGCGCCGAGGCGAAGATTATGACGAGGTGGGTGATGATTGGTTTGATTCGCAGATTCTTAACAGATGCACGCAAGCGTTCCAAGCGGACATCGACCGCAAACACCCGATTGAGCTGTGGTTCCAGCGGATTGCGGATGTTCTATTTCCGGAGCAGCAGCAGCAAGCAGCTTGAATGTCTCAACGAACCTCCCGACACCAACGAACAGGCTTGAGGCGACACGAAGCGCTCCCAGCCTATCTCAATTGGACACCGGGTCGATGATGGTCGATGATGACGGAAGCGCAAATCGAAGGTATGGAGTTTTGGCGAGCTTACAGTGGGCCTTTGGTGAGCCACGGATAGCAGAGATAGATCTGTAGCATATCGTCGGGAAACTGGTTGCGGAGGGATCTGATAGCAGTACGCCTTGCATATAGCGAGAAGACGTGAGGAATGGTCGGAGAAGTCGTGTCGTCTTGGCGATTGTCGCGCCCTCAGCTCTTTTACAAGCCTTGACCAAAGTCACTACTCACAACTTTTCCCGAACCAATATACCAGGGAATATGTTGATGGGCTGGCGAACGTCTCTGAGCCATTCGTAATCGTCGGAGAATTCGCTTCCCCATGCCATTCGCCCACTCCTTGCCATCATGCCACCATCCAGTCCAAAATCGTCTTTATAGCTGTTTGCAACCACTCAACGTATCTGTGCAAGATCCGCGAAAGATCTTACTCTCTTCCGATTTGCCATCGTCGGATGTAGCCTGGGCTCGACAAGTCTGCTGAGCGACCACTGAAGCCTACACCGAGCAACTCGTGCAGTATCAATTTGGCGAGCTGAGGGAAATGCTCGCAGTCGGCAAGTCAGTCACGGCATGCTTCCAATTGCAGGGCTTGGGCATGACGCAGGCTCCAGCACGCGCTACCTCGATCTCCTGACCAAACAGAAATGTGTTTCTCGAACAACTCATAACGGCCTGAAGCTCCATCTCAAATCCTCCGCCTCTGCCACGCCCAAAAAGCACTAAACGGCAACCTCCAATCCGTCACCCTCAACTTCGCCCCAAAAACATCAAAATCCGCCCTCTCCAACCTCCCCAACCACATCTGCGTCGCGACAGCCGGCATGAAAGCCCCAAACGCCCTCTCCACCTCCTGCGCCTGCGTCTCAGCTTTACGACCTTTACTCGGCAAATAAACGTGCTCCTCCTCATTGCCATGCTCATACTCATGATCCGCGTCCTTCCCCGCCCGGACCTGGGACAACATCTGTCGGGCTGTGATGAGGTGGTCGTTTGCACGGGTGGCGACGACGAAGACTGCGTCACGGAGACCTTGGGCTTCGGCGCCGTTTCGTAAGACGTCTTCCTCTCGGACTCCGGACTCGGCCATTACGTCTAGTGGGAGCATGACGGCGCCTTGTCGTGTTGCTCCGACATCGCCGGAGAATTGGCCTTGGTTACTATGTGTATTTGGGGGACCTGGGAAAGCGAGTAAAGGCAGTCCACGAAGGACAGCAGCTATCCCTGTCGCTTTACCGATATGACTCGCTACATGATCGGCCGTCAAGCTCGACATGGGGAGAGCCTGGAGGGTAAGATAGAGTAGAGTGCTGTAGGTATTCTCCGCATAGCTCTCCAGACTCGCCACACCGGGGTAAGGAGGATTACTCAAGTACTTCTCCCTCGTATCAATAATCCTCATAAACCAACTCTTACTCCACTTCCCTCTCCCATCTGTCTTCCGCTCAATATCCTCTGCAGCTTTCGCTAGTAAAATCGCAATCGGTTGTTTTGGTGGCGAGCCGGCTAGGGATTTCGTAATGGCGTCCCGTTGAAACTGGAGTCGCATCGCACCTATTGTGGGCGTGGAGGTCGTGTCGGCTGTGCGAGCGACTTCGATATTGAAGGCGCGGAGGGCAATATAGGCGTCTCGGGCGTGGGAGGGAATGTAGGGGAGGAGGAGGGACGAGGGGGTGTCGTATTTGCGTAGCATGTCCATGCAGTATCTTCTTGAGCGGGAGAGTTCTTCGCCTGATACTGTGGTTGATGCTGGTTGGGCGACGGTGTCGGTGGATTGGTGGCGACATTGTTGGCATATCCAGATCATCTTTCGTGGTCGGATAGTGTTGAGGAGGGTGTTGGCTCGAGTGTATGCATTTCGTGTCCAGCTCTGGGTCGTCATTGCCGTGGGAGGAGTGTGGCTCTTGCCTTGTCTGTGAGTGAATGCTACTGGGAAAGCAACAACGTCTATGCCTTTCACGAGGGAGCGTTTATTGTGGTAAGGACTGACTTGTTCGATGCTTTAGAATGGATATGAATATGACCTTTGATGTCGTCGACGATCACAAATATTCGGGAGTCCGTGACATCACCCCGCATTGGGAAGGCACTCTAACTTTTGACGCGCCTGTACGCGTCTCGCTTGACTCTAGAAGAACATCGCTTATGTTTGGCTGAGGTGGCTGCGGTGAAGATGACGGACATACAGGAGAGACCACACAAGAAGAGACGCTTCTTTGTGGAAGAAGAGGCTCCGGTCCAAGACACCACCCTCCCGACCGAGCCTACCCTACCAGACGAGGTCATACCGGAGACGAATAGCTTCAATGCCCACACTGAGCAGCAACTACTGGGATCATTCGACGCCGACACACTGAGGGCTGTAGCAGGCTGTGAAGTACCAGACTCGACCATACGCAGTCTACAAGGACGATTCGGCACCGACCTTGAGCAGGCCGTCAACGCATATCTCGACGGCTCATGGAAGACACCTTCACCTCAGAAGCGGCCTGTCGTCTCAAGTCATTCTGGCCAGCAACCAATAGCCTTCCGGAAAGAGCCTAGCAATGCTGCAGCAGGCACGACCTCGAATCATGCCACTTCATCAAAGCCAAGCTCGCCACCACCAAAGCCTCCAGCACTGGACGCTATGCCCAAGAAGCGATACATTGGTGCTCTTGGCGTTGCGGGTTGGACGACGAGAAGTGGTAATAATCTCCTCCGACCGAACGATGTTGTAAAGATTGAGCGAACAAAGCAGAACATGCCGCAGAAGCTAGGCAGAGGTGGCAAAGTTAAGCAGACGTTCAGGAAGACGCAGGATGTCATCGTTCGCTTCACCAATGCAAGAGGTGAGGAGATCGGGCGGCTTGAGAAGGACACAGCCAACTGGATCAGCTCGCTCATCGATCAGAAAGTGTGTTCTTTCGAGGGTCACTGCGTATTTGCTCCAGAGCGGATACGGACGAATGATACTGTCTACATCCAGCTTCGATGTTACTTATTGAAGCAGGCATTCGAGGCGAGCAATTTTATCAAGCCTCTGGAGAACAACCGTGAAACTGGCATATTCGAGGCAAAGGAGACCCAGGATGAGCGTGATCTGAGGTTACGTCAAATTGGTCTGGTCAAGCTATTCAGTGAGATCAACCTCCAGCCTAGCAAGGTCAACGAGACAACGGCACGGCACAAGCGAGAAGGTATATTACAGGCGGCCGAAGTAGCCGAGCAATACGATCAGTCCGAGTCCGCGAAGAAGTCCAAGCCCAGCTCACCACAGGAGAATGGAGGCTCTTCTCCACCTTCTGAAGATGCCGCTGAAGAGGGTGAAGAGCTCGAGCAGGACCAGCTGGACAGTCTCTACAAGAAAGCACAGTCCTTCGACTTCAACACACCAGAAGCACAACCTGCTGATACTTTTGTCATGGATCTGAGGAAGTACCAGAAGCAGGCTTTGCACTGGATGTTGAACAAGGAGACCTCGCAGAAGGATGAGGAGAAACAGCAGTCGATGCATCCACTCTGGGAAGAGTATCTCTGGCCTGCGAAGGATGCTGAGGACAGAGACTTACCGAGTGTCACTGGCCAGCACTGTTTCTATGTCAATCCTTACTCTGGAGAGATGAGTCTGGACTTTCCTGTGCAGGAGCAGACTTGTCTTGGAGGTGTGCTTGCAGATGAGATGGGATTAGGGAAAACTATAGAGATGCTCTCGCTCATCCACAGTCATACTTCTCCCGAACAGCAGGCAGCGATTGACAGCGGGAACATGGACTCTGTTAACAGCCTGCCACGATTGCCGAAGAGCAGCGCCAACGTGGAACGAGCGCCCGCGACGACTCTGGTGGTAGCACCCATGTCCCTACTGGCGCAGTGGGCCAGCGAAGCAGAGAAGGCCTCGAAAGCTGGCACACTGAAGGTGCTGGTGTACTATGGCAGCGAGAAGAGCGTCAATCTACAGACACTGTGCTGTGAGGCCAACGCTGCTACTGCGCCCAACGTCATTATCACCTCCTACGGGGTGGTGCTCAGCGAGTTCAACAGTGTCGCGGCGATGGGTGGCAATCGTGGCAGTCATGGTGGACTATTCAGTCTGGACTACTGGCGCATAATTCTAGACGAAGCACATATGGTCAAGAACCGCCAGTCTAAAACAGCCAAAGCTTGCTACGAGATCGCAGCAAAGCATAGATGGGTACTGACCGGTACTCCCATTGTCAATCGTCTAGAAGACCTGTTCAGTTTGGTACGCTTCTTACGTGTCGAGCCATGGTCCAACTTCAGCTTCTGGAAAACATTCATCACTGCGCCATTCGAGAAGGGTGATTTCGTGCGTGCCTTGGACGTGGTACAAACTGTTCTCGAACCAATCGTGCTCCGCCGGACAAAGGACATGAAGACACCAGATGGTGAAGCGCTCGTACCACTGCTACCCAAGACGATCAAGGTCGAAAAAATCGAGCTCAGCACACCAGAGCGCGAAGTCTACGATCACATCTATGCCCGTGCGAAACGCGCTTTCAACTCGAATGTCGAGGCGGGCACGCTTATGAAGAGCTACACCACCATCTTCGCCCAGATTCTGCGGCTGAGACAATCGTGCTGCCACCCGATCCTAACCCGCAACAAGACCATCCTAGCAGAAGAAGAAGCCGCAGAAGAAGCCGCAGACATCGCCAACGGTCTCGGTGACGACATGGACCTGACATCCCTAATCGAGCGCTTCCAAGCTGACGAAGGCGAACAAGACGCTTCGAAATTCGGCGCTCACGTCCTTAGGCAGATCCAGGAGGAGGCGGAGATGGAATGTCCGATCTGCTCCGAAGAGCCTATGGAAGAGCAGGCTGTGACGGGCTGTTGGCATTCGGCGTGCAAGAAGTGTCTGATGGATTATATTGAGCATCAGAGCGGCAAAGGTGAGCTGCCGAGATGTTTCAATTGTCGGGAACCGATTAATGCTAGAGATGTGTTTGAGGTGATCCGACACGAGGATGAGGAGGAAGAGGAACAAGATGGTAGCGCCACTAACGCTCTGACTTCAGCGTTTGACTTGGATGAGGATGAAGAGCTATACGGCAATACCCAGCGAACAAGCACGAAATCCGCCACCAAGACCCCTCGAATTTCCCTCCGCCGAGTAAACCAGCTCTCCTCCGCCAAAGTCGCCGCCCTCCTCGCCTCCCTAAAACGCATCCGCAAAGCCGAACCCAATACCAAAACCGTCGTCTTCAGCCAATTCACCTCCTTCCTCGACCTCCTTGCCCCCGCCCTCACGTCAGCAAACATCTCCTGGCTGCGCTTCGACGGCTCCATGTCCCAAAAAGAACGTGCGCGGGTCCTCACCGAATTCGCCTCCCGCACACAATTCACCATCCTCTTCTTGAGTTTGAGGGCGGGGGGCGTGGGTTTGAATTTGACTTGTGCGAGGAGAGTGTTCATGATGGATCCGTGGTGGAGTTTTGCCGTGGAGGCGCAAGCGATCGATCGAGTGCACAGGATGGGTCAGACGGAGGCGGTGGAGGTGGTAAGGTTTGTGGTTGGGGGGAGTATTGAGGAGAAGATGCTTAAGGTGCAGGAGCGGAAGAAGTTCATGTGAGTCGTCCCTTTTTCCACACCTTGTCACGATGAGACGAGATAAGATGTGATTGATGTTGTGGCTTTCGCTGACTGTTGTCTTTGTGTGTGCAGTGCGAGTTCTCTGGGTATGATGAGTGATGAGGAGAAGAAGGCGCAGAGGATTGAGGATATTCGGGAGTTGTTGAGCTGAGAGGCTTGAAGATTCTGTTTCACTTCCTCCGAAGCAAGTGGGCACGAATCGTTGGGTGGCTTCCAGCTTGCTACAGCATTTCCTCGGAAACAATGGCGGGTCGATGATGGTGAGCTGGTCAATGTGATAAATATCCTGGTGCATTGGGGCTTCTTTGTTCTCTCCACCGTGGTGTCACGACTGTCCCGAAAGACGCCACATCCCAGCCGAGAATACCACTTCGATACAGTCGTGCAGCTGGGCTTCAACTGCTCGTGCGGGACGAGTGCCACGCACGAATATGGCGTATATTTCCACCGCCAGGACTGTTTCGGCTGAACCTATACGGCTGACACGTTGATCAAATGTATAGAAGATTGACTCGTCCAGTACAGTGGCTGATAAATAATATCGATGAAGCTTCCGATCCACTGCGTACACCCAGACCCCACGTAGGATCGCTGTCACTGGTGCTGATTTTGGCGTTTCTCGAGCGGCCTTCCTAGCAAATCAGCCTGGGCTTTGGCTAAAGAAGTCTGGCGTACGAAGCTTGTGGTTGAGACATCAACCACTTGTACGAACGCCGTGGCCACTCCTGATGGCCACTTATGATCTCTCCGGGAGTCATGATTAGATGAGAGTGGCGGGCTAGGCTTGCCGCGTCACACGAGGCTAAATCCATTCACTCGCTCAAGTCATCCTGCAGCTCTTACTCTCTTAGCTGCAAAGTCACGCCCCTTGTGACAGTATGTGTTCACTGGTGAACAGTCGATTCCTACGTCGACAACATGCTCTGACCTGCGTAGACAAGCCCGCTCATTGCTAAGCAGTACTGTAGTCGTCCCAATGCCTTCCCGATTCATGTTGACTCCCAAGGCTATTCGCGCCATAGTCTTCTCAGGCATCACTATTCTCCTGTTGCTGACCTGGCCGGCTTACAAATACTCTTCATTACCCGACCATATCACTATCGATATCGCAAATAGCCAGACGATTGACATCACACATCCAGTACCACCGGATGCGACTATAGCCTTCGAGAAACCTTCCGGATTACGAGTGATTGCACTGATCTTCTACGGCCGAGCTGATCGAGTCCGTACCTTGCACTGCTATCTTCAACGCAATCTCCCCGAGCAAGGCGGTTGGGTGGACGAGGTCCACTTCGTGCAAGACACCGACAACGAAGATGACCTTGCATACCTCCGCACACTTGCGGCATCCAACCCACGCTACAAGCTTCTGGACATCGATCCCTTAAGAGCAAAGGAGGATAAGTTCTCGGCGAATTGGGAGCTGCTCGAGCGCGACGCCATCTATGTCAAGATCGATGACGATCTGGTGTTTATTGCCGATGATACGATACCACGTCTCGTCTATCGAAAGTTCCATCATCCGGAATACTTGGCCTTGTCCGCCAATATCATCAGCAGTCCATTGATGAGCAAGGTCCAGTACGATAATGATGCTTACTTCCCGTACTTGCCCGCGCACAATTCGTCTTCTGCAACTGCCTTCTTGGAGCAAGGACGGGTCCGAGATCAGAGTGCGACGAGGTGGCGACATACGCACTATCCCGGTTGGAAAGGGCCTAGCAATTATAGCATCGATGCAGCTCTTCCAACTACAGGTCTGTCGCCAATCTGGCTTCGACTATCAGAGGCTCGAGATATTGAACGTACGCCAATTCGTGACCTTGTGTACGATACATGGGGCCCAGGCTGCACCTCTTGGTCCGTGGCAGCGCAAAGCCATATGTCTCTGCTTGAGCAGCTGCTTCATGGTACGACTAGCATATACTACAACAACATGACAGACATTTGGACCACAGATTACCGGCGGCTTTCAATCAACTTCGTGGCTATCGACAGTAACGAGGTCTTGTCACATTTGCCAATCGGTGCGGATCTCTGTGACGAGGAGTGGTTGACGGTGAATCTGCCGAAGCGCATCGGTAAGCACATCGCTGTAGAAACCCGTGCTCTGGCGTCACACTTCTCGTTCTTCTTCCAGCGAGCTGTGGAATATACAGATATTCTAGATCGATATGCGGACTTCGCGAACGATGTGGTCAGTTTGCAGCCGCGACGGTATGGTGTGCCGATTCTTCGAAATGGAGGCAGCAATGTGACGCAAGAGCCGTCTGTTACCAACGGGTCTCGCATCTTTGGTTCTAGTGATATATCGTGACAGAGCATATTGCGTTATGGCACCAAACATCGCCACGCATTGTCCGTTCGAAATCTGATTTCCAGGACAGTGTCCTCAAAAGCATGCATGAACGAGAGACGAGGTCCTAATCTGCATAGGTATCAACAAAGGAATGGTAGAATTTCGCAACCTTGGATCGAATGTCTCCATATGGCCAAGACTGCACGTGAATGGTTCGAGGGCGATGAGCAAGCACAAGAAGAGCTGCAACCGAGAAGATCCTGATATTCAAAAATTGCGCCGCAGATGTTTACCATTGCGAGATCTATCATCTGGACCACGTCGCAAACACGACTTAGAAGAAGTCAACATAGACGCATGCCTGGCGTGTGGAGTGAGTATTGTTGAAGTATAGATCCGGGTGGGTTGGAAGAGGTTCGCCTATGTTGTGTAGCATGAAAAGACTCCATATTCGTCTCTGCCAGTATCTATATTCAGGTACCGGCATGTGGACATTCGAAAATGTGATATTGTGGTTCTTGTTACGTGAAGTCATGCCGAGTGCTATCCTTGGCACTGGCCACGAGCTACCAGACCCGCTTCTCGAGCGGAACACGTGGAAGAATGGAACGGAGTCCTAGCCAGATCGGAGATGGCCGACAGAGATTTTTGCGTGCCAAGCATACAGCGATCCACCGCGGCGAATGGGTCAAAAGTCAGCTGCTCATCGATGTACCGAAAAGTACAATGCCGAGACGCATCCAATATATGAACGCAATCGACTTGCGTAAAGGTGTCTCATACAGCGAATATGATGCTCGATAGCCCTCGCCGGCATGCGACAGATGCGCCGTCTCGTCACGGAGGACGGAGATGCGCAATTAAAACGCAGTGCTATAGCTCGTGTTTGGCGGCTCTGCTACTTGGCCAGACGCCACATTGCGGGGTGTAACATGCCCCTCAGCCGGGCGAGATGCAATTGTCCTTGCTATGGAGCCTCGTGTATGGACGGGGCGAGACGTGTTGATGGTGAAGTATGAGCAAGGTGCCCAGGCGGTGTGCCCGGTAGGACTACGTACCGCGACAGACTTCCGACCCTGCTGGCCTGACGCCCTGCGTTATGCGGTCGTCAAGAGTCATCGTCATGTCTTGCTGGCAAGTTCGCTCATGTCCAAGGACCAGGTGAACCACAACCAGCTGAAAGCAGTCGCACGTTCCAAACACGGCGGTGGAGCTGCAGGATATGCATGCCGCTAGAGTCTTAGCGACGGAGCAGGGCACACACGGCGTAGTCAGCGAAGATTTCTTGCAGGCGGCGGGATCGTCTGCATTGGCCACAGACGATCCGAGGCTAGCAGCTGCATGTGATGCTTTCTTGGTGAACTTCTACCCAAAGAGAGTTTTGATCGAGTAATAGTAAACCCTCTGCAGAAGAACGTGCTCGCAGCCTCCGCTCGCATCACCGCTGACTCTTTCGTTCACTTCTGATTCCTCTTCTTGATATCCAAGTGAAAGATGCCTTGTGTCGCTTTTAACATCCAGCAAGTTCAGAGAGGCCTTGAAAGAATCATTACAACATCTTGAATTGAACAGCAGCGGCGCCAACCGTAGGCAGGCGTCTGCACCCCAGATCGTCAGCTGCAGAAGGATCCGAAGACTGGTGGAAGAGTGACGTGACTGGTCGCGGTTGTCTCATTTCGTCGACATGCCCACCAAATTATTCGGCATCGACTTGAGGCGCATTCCACAGCAACAACAGCAAACAGATTTGAAGGACAGCAGTGGCATTAGTATTACAACATTACGACGACCGAGCATGGATCACATCAAGCGACCGGCGCTTGCTGCGCTCGGCAAGAAAACCAGCGACAAGAAGAGCAAAGACAGATCCTCGTCTAACAAACGAGCTGTTGATGTTGCACCGAAACCAACCTCATCTAAGCCTGTGAAGCTGAACATGACCATGGAATCACCTCCCATCCTCATGATGGGCACCGCGCAGGAATCCAGTGGAGCACTCATTTCAGGCCAGCTACAAATCACACCCTTGGCAGGTGATGTGATCATGGAGAGCATTGTCATGTATCTGGAATGCACCACCACCACGAAACAACCCGTACAGGACCGATGTCGCGAATGCATGCAGCAAGTGAGCGATTTGTACGAGTGGAACTTTATCAAGAAGCCAATGATTTGCGTCGCCGAGCAGGGGATGCAGCAGCTGCCGTTCTCGCATCTGATCCCCGGCCACATCCCGGCCACGACACACGGTCAGATCGGCAGCCTGGACTACTCGTTGCACGTGCGAGCAAAGTCAAGCGATGGCCTCGAGACTGAGTTTCGCCGTGAGCTAGTAGTCAGGCGTGCCCTCCGACCCGGCAACGACAAGAACAGCGTCCGCATCTTTCCGCCAACCAATCTGACACTCCACGTCACACTCCCCAGCGTGGTCCACCCTCTTGGAGATTTCCCGGTGCAGTGCCGCATGACCGGCATCACGAGCAAACGCGAGGACACACAAACCCGCTGGCGCCTCCGCAAGCTAACCTGGCGGATCGAGGAGAAGGAGACGATGATCTCTCCCGCATGCACCAAGCACGCCGCCAAAGTCGGTGGCGAGGGCAAGGGTCTCGCGCACCAGAAGGATCGCGATGTGGGCTCGCAAGAAATGAAGGCGGGCTGGAAGACGGACTTTGACGATGGACAGATCGAAGGTGAGTTCGTGGCGGCTATCGAGAGTGGCCATATGCCGCAGTGTGATGTCGAGGCTCCCAACGGATTGAAGATCTCGCACGTGCTGGTCATGGAATTGGTGATTGCAGAAGAATGGGCCCCGAACAAGAAGCCTACTCAAGCCACACCTACAGGTGCGGCAAGAGTATTGAGGACGCAATTCAACCTGAACGTTACTGATCGTGCCGGGATGGGAATCAGCTGGGACGATGAAATGCCGCCGGCCTATGAGGATGTTCCTGCTTCGCCACCACATTACCAGAACGGGCATACATTTGTGCGCGACTACTCAGCTGAGTCTCTTCATGGTGATGTTGAGGATCTGACCCTCAACGGATGAGCGTGAGAAGAAGAGTGTGATAACGATACAAAACGGCCAATATTTGCATGCCATCTTAGTATTGCTTGGCGAAGGTGTATTGGATTAAGATACCCACTTGGGAGGTGGTTTGTTTAGCATTGTTGGTGAGACTGGAGACCACAGCACAAGAGATTTGTTTTCGAAGTAGGAAAAGTCACCACTCGGCTTGGGTAATTTTGATAGCATAGCATGGCGTTTCGGGATAGAATGGTCTTGGTTCTGGTTTTTTTCTCATTTCTTGAGTTAATGTCGGCGACACTACCTTCACAGTCCTCTCTACATTTCTACTTCGAACATATACTATTTGACGAGTCTCATGCGTTTATTGCTCGCTTGTGCAGCCTGCGTTGGGGTCTCGTCGACCACGCTCCGATGGGACCTTTGTGACCATGTTATACACAAATTACTTCCACTCCAAGCACATACGACCATAGGCGATGAAGAACAGAGGATCCCGTCCGCTCTCCTGTACTTAAATTATCGACCGGCAGAGTAGTAGTATAGTGGGTGACCATATGCGAATGCCTGCTGTCGTATGTTTTGCCATTTTGCCATTTTGCTCTTCTTGTACATCGTATGGCTCGGATCTCTGGCTTACGTCCAACTTAACAACTTACAACGTCCTTAGTAGGTAGGTAGTGGGCGGTAGTAGCTCTACGGTAGTACAACTATGTATGACGTGGCACCAAGTATAGCTGAAGTACAGTACGTTATATACACTGTCTTCCTACCTAGGCCTGGCTAGACTGCGGATAGTCACTTATTCAACAACGAGACCAAAGCCCATCAGTACTGCTGCGCTATCCTTTGTGGAAAGTGGAATAGCTTTTCCGTCCTTCTTCGCCAGTACACGATCAGGGTGGTAGTGGCCTGGGTACTCGTCATCGGCCCAAGCTATCGGGCCATTGATACTACCGGCCGCGAGTTGACTAATGAGTTTCAACTACTTGTCGTATTCGCTGTCGCGCCAACGTAGACAACTTGAATAGCAGCAATTCTGTTGTACAGTCAGCAAGATGTAACATTTTGCATCGTCGGGCGAACACTTGCGCCGTCGTGATACCGAGTGAAGTATCTGGACTCAACTGCAACCCCACCACCAGTAATGCCGCAAAAGCTGCTGTAAAAACAAGTATCAGGCCGATGCGGAGCAGGAGTTGCTTGACAAAATAGCATACGACAATGGGTATGACAGGAAGTACGCTTGCAATGATCGTAGACAATATCTGACCCAGGCCACCAGAGCCAGACGTATCAATGTGATGTGGTTGTCGCTCAGTGATGCCAAAGGAGAAGAGTCGCTGTAACCAGGCGATGAATCTTCCGATGCGAAACGCAATACCGTGATCTTCCTCGAAGCCGTAGAAGTCTTCTGGACTCCGAGGGATTATGTCTCGAGCAGCGTTCCGAGTAGTCCAGACGTCTTCAACATCACCCGTGAGGAAGGAAGCACCTCCATTCATTGAATTGAGCCAGTCGCAGACAGCTCTCATGTCACTGCGTTTAGGACTTCCAATCTCGTTGAGCCGCTTGTACTGCTCCACAGCGTTGTCTTTCCAAGAATGAGATACGTCGAGCGTAGCGGATACCTTGAGGGTCACTCACTATAATTCTGCAGTGTCTTGCGAATCTGAAGCATCTTTTCGCAGTAAAGAGAAGACATCGTCTTGGGTGAGGTTGTTGTTGGCACTTGGGCCATCAAGGGCGTCCATCTAGAATTGGCGAGCCCTGAAGCCACTGTTGCAGCTTGCGCATCTCTTTGTTCGATATCGGTCAACTCAAGCTCGAGATGAGCGAGTTCGGCTTGGTAGAATAGCAGGTTCCTGATCTGCAGCTCACGGAATCGCTTGACGGCCAAGATATCGGGATAGGTGCTTAGGATGTTCGCAAGAGCTTTGTAATTGGACTTTTCAGGAGCCATCGGTTCAGCGCGACTGCCGCTCAGCTGCACGCTTAGCGTGGCTCATAGATATGCATCTTCTCAAGAATGCATTGTGGAAAGGAGAGACGGCCTGAGGCTCTCTGCCTAGACTGGGCTTTGTGGCATGTGAGCATGCGCCACGCATACATACTGTAAGCGTCGAGATCGGTCAGCGCGGTGGGGGAGGTACTAAGATTCTCTCGTATCCTCTCGGACTTTGACCTCCTTTCGCTCGACTAGGAGGAGTGACCCTAGTCAAATATGATCCTATATTACTGCCGAAGCTCTGTGTGATCCTCCACCGAAGCGCTCGAACGAGGTCAACCATGGCTGAAGTTGCCGGCCTCGTTTTAGGCGCAACTTCCGTCGTCATTGAGGCTTTAGAGGCTTATGAAAAATTGAGAACGAAGTCAAGCAGAGGTCGACGAGGCTACCAGGATCTGAAACTTGAGCTGGAAATCAATCTATTACGCTTGCGCAGGATCCTGGAAATCTTGTTGAAAGACACATCATTTGAGTCTAGTACACTCGATGATTTACTATCAAACCCAACGAGCTCACAATGGCGAAGTCCTATGGTGGAGGTCGCTTTGAGGCGACGACTCGGGTCAGCGTACCCAGCCTTCCTTCACTTGACGACGAACATCTTCGAGACCGTATCGTCGATCGAAAAATCCTTCCAGAGGATCGCAAACGGCTCCAAGGCAACGATAGCCTGGAGGGTGGCATATGATGCCAATAGCCTTTCGGATCAATTAGCAACCTTTCAAAAGCTGAATTCAGAAATTGAACATCTTGCCCAATCTGTAGGTCCCTGGCAACTGGAGTCGATTGCACATCTGGGTGCATCACTGGTCAGGCCCAAGAACCGTTGGAAAAAGCTCGACTTGCTGAGAGCCGAGACCACTATGGATCGGATTGGCTGAGGCTTGGAGTCGAGGCTGGCGCCCGGGTCAGTGTTGGTGCTGAAGCTTCTTTCGAGCGCCCAGAATATGACCGTGTCGAAACTGGGAGCTCTTACACCGTGGACTCTGAGGTAGGTCAAGTGCCAGCCTCCGTGATGCGCTAGCTGACGCCCCAGCTTGAAGACTAGCTCAGACATCTCTAGCCTTAGCTACCTGCCGATATCACTAGAGGCAGCCGACTTGCCACAGCGTAAAGTACAACAGGACGCGCTACTCGACACAGGCGCCACGCATTGCGCGATTTCGCTGAATGCAGCTTTGCAGCTCGGCCTGGAGATCGAAGAGGACGAACAAGAGGAAGAAGTCGTCATCAGGACCGCTGCCTTGGGTCAACTCTTACTCGCAAAGGGCCGAGCCCATTTGACTCTACGCTGGCAGGATCAGCACGGAAAGTCGCGCGGAACGAGGATCTGGGTATCGGTCGTCCCTCATCTAAACCACGGTGTGCTTCTCTCACACGACTTTACCAAGAATCACCCCGAGGTCTGGAATGTGGCGAAAGTGATTGCTCATACCGTGGAACAGTTCAACGTCACATGGTTCAACAAGATCAGTAAAGAACAGCTGGAAGCGGAAGATGACTTCAGACGGAGGCAGGAGTCTGAGAATGCCGCCAACGCCGAAAAGGAGAGGAAGAAACGCCTCGCCGAACTGGACGATGTGATTGCAAGTGCTAGTACGACTCCACAGCCAGGATCGACCGCGCCTTCGATTGCAGGATCGTCCGCCTCGAACGCGCCATCGTCGACTACGACTGGCTCATCAGTATCAGCTACTATGACATTTGGACCCAAGCCATAGCGTATACACCCACCGAACTTTAGTTTCAAGTTCAGCAGCTATGTTGGTCCGGCGAGCGGCTGATCACTTGGATCACCCGGCTATGCTAGTAAGTTATCCAGCTTCACCAGAGCGCATGTCAGATCCTTTCCAAGGCTCCATATTGCTTGTTCGATGATGGGCGTGCAAGCCAACTCGACAGATACGTGAAGAGCTATGAATCGAACAGAACAACAGAAGTCTCTATCATGCTTAAGCATCCTCACCCACGCTTTCCACCCGTCAACCTCTTGCCCTCACCCTCATCATCCTCATCATCACTCCCTCCCTCATCGTCAAGAGCAAACATCGTATCGGCCTCCAGACTCCTGCGCTGCAACGTACTCGTCCTACGCGGTATCGGCGCAGGCAAAGGTGAAATATCGCGTTGTATATCTCGTTGCCTCTCAGTACTGTCTCGAACAGGATCATACATTGGCGGCTTCACACCGTCGCCATTCAGACCTCGGGCGGAATCCGATGTCGGGTCTTCGAGGTCGATGTCGAAGCTGTCGCGTATAGACGCGATCTCGAATCCGTCGTCGTCTTGTGCGATCTATAACACGCCTCGTTAGCATCATTGCTGAAACCAGAGACGTATGGGAATGATACGCACCTCTTCACTCATGGCGAACCGCCGGTTATTCGCTGTCGGCCTCCAGACATAAGCCACAAACGCCACGTCGAAAAAGTATACTAGATTCAACCATCCATCCAAGATGAACCATCTCGTCTGCCAATGCTTCGGCACGAAATCCTCTTGTGATGATCCGGCGAAAGTCCAGCTGTTCACGAAGAAGAAGGCGAAGATGACGACGATGGAGAGCAAGATGCAGTACCATAGTTTCCGGTACATTCCTGCTTTGACGTGCTGTTTCCGTGATAGAAGATCCTTCATGGTCAGGTTGAGCGAGTTGAGGGTCCAGATGTAGAAGGCGGTCAGCGTACCGGCGAGTGGTAGAACGACCAGGAGGATCAGTGGTCCAGCGTTCTCGGGTGTGATTGAGAGACTGGTGATGGCGTAGATGACTCCGAAGACGAAGTGCGTAAGGGCTAGGATTCGGACGTACAGCATTGTTTTGCCAAGTGTTGGCTTAACCACGCCGTAGCCCATGCAGACGATCAGCAACAGGAAGAAGGAGAAGCTGTTTCGTGCCGCGGACAGGATGGAGACGAGGATGAGCAATGCTTTGGCGCCGACATTCAGACCATGTCGGTTCTGATAGTCGTGGAAGAGCCAGGTGGTGAACATCTCCGCTACGAGGAAAAGCAGGATGAAGGTGATGTAATTCTGTACTGGGAGGATATCGTGGCGATTGAGGTAGTACAAGGCTCCCCATGCCAGCGCCAGGAAAGCATACGTGATCGTTAGCGCGGCGTAGAATGGTAGTTTCGGTATCTGAGCGGCCGGGAGCTCGCCAAAAGCATTACGAAACTCGACGACAGCTGTGTAGTCTGTGTCTGGTGTGAAGCCGTAGGTACCCACACAGTAGTAGCCTGTGCGCTTTATGGGGTAGTTCAGGGGCGCCGGGTCGTTGAGGTGGATGGCTTGAGTGATTATGCCGGCTTTTGAGTTGGTCTCGGCGCTCGAAGAGAGGATGAACTCGCCCAGTTGTCCTGCCGAACAATAGCCCATATCCACAGAGCTCTGATCGCATATATACACCCTCTCCTCCACTCCGTTATCGTCTGCGCCGGGTTGAGCAGGTATTGGGTGACCTATCTCGGCCTTGTCGGTCCACTCAAAGACCACTATGCTGACTATGGGATCGCTGTCGGTGGTATTATCCTCTGCTACGTTGTCGGGTTTGAGGAACTTGGTGAGTATGAATGGCGAGACGCTGCCGCCCCAGCTCTTTCTCGAGTACATGCCACTACATACTTGTCTGTTCGACTCCTTCTGGTCTATCTTTGTTTCGAGACCAAAGGTAGTGGTCGCGACGAGTCCAAGGAGGGCGGCAGGGAGCCATCGCGGTTGCAGCATGACGGCGTGACCTGTTCAAGGCACTCGTGTCGATACTTTCCAGGTGGGCAGACTGGGTAGTGCTCGTTCACTCTATGATTGCCTATCACGAAATCCGCAAGTCTTGCGGGAGCCTCCTCCTCCTACTCCCTCCTCTCCCGATGCTCTGACTCTTTGGTCTGGGGTCGTTGCTGTGGTCGTCAGCTGATCAGCCTTTCCGTCTGCCACTATAACACAGCCACCAACAGTCCACAGTACGAGGATTCCAGACTCGTCCACTTCATCAAACCTTCGAGACACCTCCGTAGGTTGCCGAAGATCAGCTTGCCGAGCACTGCAGCTCAACGCCACACCGACACCCAGCCGTCTGGCTCGAAGCTTCGAACCAAAAAACGCCCGGGATTCTCTGATCGGCTGGACGATTGCAGCTTCTGCTGAAGTGAATGTTCTCTACGCGGTCGACCACCAGAATTAGATGATAGAATGCTTCGAAAAAGACTTTATCTGCTCATGCGCACAAATTTTTTTGCACGGGCATACCCAAAAGCACATGTTTCTGTAAGCCTTCTCTGGTATGGCGACTGCATCAGAGATTCCCGAGGGCTCTGCTCAGCAGAATGATCTACAAGCTCAGCCACAGATGACGGTACAGACGCGTCCAAAGTTTCAGGCGAGCGAGATGATGCATGTGAAACAGGTATTTGTTCCAACCGACAGCAGGCCATTGATACTGATACATAAGGCACCAGTAGGTCGTGCTTTCACTTGGGATCAGATCGCAATTCCTCTTGCTTCCTTACGATCCTCTCGCCATCGACACTCCGCTGTCCGATTTCTGAAACCGACGCACGTGCCTGGCGGCTACGCAACAGTGAACAAACAATTGCTGCGTTCCAGTAATTGCCAAGTTGCTATTGTCGACCACATATCTATTCAAGCTAGCAGCAACATATAACTGACTACGCCCGACCTGCTTGAAGGCCATACTCAACGCGACATCTTCACCACCCACAGTACTTCCATATACACACCGCAACAATGGCACAAGTAGTCGGCAAATATGCTGCCAACAAGCTTCTAGGAAAGCACATGAAGCAGTACGCCAACAAGCGCGTCGAGCAAGGCGATGTAAGTCCATACGCTCGTCTCAGCTTGGCCCGAACAATCTACTGACCGCATTGGCCTACAGGACCCATACTTCGCCCTCGTCGAAGACCCCAAACGACCCGGCAAAGTCAAGAAGGTCAAGAAGCAAATACCCACCTACATCCCCGAACATGACGCTCTCATCCTCGCGAACGTCAAGAAGACGGCATACAGACTGGACATGTGCCTTTTCAATCTCTTCGGCATCCGTTTCGGCTGGGAAGCAGTCATCGGCATCATCCCATTCGCTGGCGACGCGATAGGTGTCGCGATGGCCTATCTCGTCTTCCGAAAGTGCTGCGCGATTGATGGCGGTCTGCCTAGCTCTGTGCGGACATGGATGCTCATCAACATCGCTATCGACTTCGCTGTCGGGTTGGTACCATTCATCGGCGATCTCGCAGACGCAGCCTTCAAATGCAATACCAAGAACGTGGCGCTGTTGGAAAAGCATCTGGATCAGAAGTACCGGCCTGGTGCATCGGGCTCTAGGAGGGACGATGAGAGGAATCGGCCGGTTGCTGGTGTGGATCAGGAGAAGAGGAGGAAGAACAGGCAGAGCGGGATCTTCATGCCTAATGACCCGCCACCAGCTACGGTGTTTGAGGACTTTAGCGATGATGAGTTGCCGCCCAGCAATAGACGGCAGGAGACGGGTAGGACGAGGAGATAGGATGTTCTACCACTCGTGGAAGCACGTAAGACGTGTGCGAGACAGAGGGATGAAGTCGTTGTATGGTTGAGACGTTACGATGGCGTTGGCGAGAGTCTTTTACTGATGCGTTCGAGATACCTACTGTACGCGGAGTTGTGCTTTCTTCACGATCATACTACCCACAAGCGTCTCAATGCCCTGATATCTGGCGACTTTCATCTCAACAAAAGTCTCATAGTTGTGCTCGTACACTCGTCACGTGTCGCTTAGAGGCGGCACATCCCCTTTGCCCTCACAAAATTTCTCGGGACGGCATCTTGGAAAGGGAAATCGGAGCCGACTCCTGCTTTTGGACTTTATCATGAGCAGGTGGCGAATGCTTCATCGTTCTTGTGCCAGATCTTGGGAACGACCAAATAATCTTGGAGAGTCTTGAAATGCTAGATACTTGTACCATTCCATCAAGCATCCTAGCTTGTGTTACGCATCTACCTACACACTCACAACGTTTACGGTACCATGCACCGCCAAGGCCAGCCAGGTCGTTCTCGAATCTCGATGTGATCTCACTTTCGCAAGCCGACCGATGCGGCTAGTCTACACCTCCATCCCACGCCGTCTCGCTAGCGAAACGACAACCTCACTGGTCAATCCAGTGGACGGTACTTTTCTCTCATCCTCGCCGCGGTCGTGCCGCCGAGCAGATCCAGGATCGACCTCTTTCTTATATCCTACTCCCCGCCCCACGGCGAAAAGCCCTTCCTTGCATCTCACTACACTATCTACACCTCTACTACGGCCAGTGTATCAGGAATCTGTCGACTGTTAAGGGAAGAACATCCAGCTATCAATTAGCGCTAGGAAGCTCTTCAGCTCGCCCGCCTCTTATCTTATCTAATCTAGATACGCCAATCCTTGACCTCGAGTCTACCCTCCGACCACTCTTGTGCAGACCTCTGTGCGTGACCATTCGACTATTTACTACTGTGAGCCAAGCCATCGGTGACTCGTGCCGTACATCGACAACTCGCAGCCTGGACCAAAGCGACCACATCGACTACTTCCAAAGCGCCTTGAATCATTCTACCGAATGATCTATCCCTAGCGACCTAACCACCACTGGAGGAACCTGTAACACAGCAGGCATTCCAAATCTATCATCTGGACCGTCCAAAGCGCCAGTGCACGTGAGCTGTACTCCCATCTGCGACACCCTTCCACGAGCGACCTTCGACCGTAAAGAACAGTAGACGAAAAAATGGCAGATCGACTCGCACCCGCTGATGTGCGCCGACGCAAGAGCAGCGTCGGTGCCGTAGAGATGCAAGGTCCTGGTGGAACTGTACGCACCGTACAGCTCGAGGACATGAGTGAGGCCGATCGCGCGCTAGCTGCAGAATTTGGATATAAGCCCGTCTTTAAGAGAGGTACGTATAGCCTGTGAGGAGTGTCGCACTCCCGTTGATCTGTTCGGCGTGCGACATACCCAAGAGCCTGTGCTAATCCGGACATGTTGTGATGCATAGAATTCGGCTATCTCTCCACTTTCTCTTTCGCCGTCAGTATCTCGGGTCTCTTCTCGACTGTCGCGACCACATTCTCATATCCGCTGTATGCGGGTGGAAGTGCTTCCGCCGTCTGGTGCTGGCTGATCTCTGGTGCTGGATGCATGTGCATTGCTGTAGGTCTTGTGTCCTTCAAGTTTTGTGGCATCGTTTGGTTAACGAATTACATAGTGCTCCGTTTCTGAGCTGGTATCTGCATATCCAACCTGTGGTGGCTTGTAGGTGCACAATTTCAGTGATGAAACGAGTATAAGCTGACGGAGTTGACAGGTACTACACCATCTCTCGCACAGCACCCAAGAAGTACGTACCGCTTGTCAGCTGGGTTACTGGCTGGTTGAACCTCCTCGGTCAAGTCGCCGGTGTCGCGTCGTCAGAATGGGGTGCAGCCGCTCTTCTCCTGGCCGCCGTCTCCATGGGCACAGACTTCACCTATGTCCCTACCACTGGCCAGACTGTCGGTGTCATGGCCGGCCTCACCGTCATCACTGGCCTCGTCAACTCGCTATCGACATACTGGATGGAAAAGATGACAAAGTCTTATGTCATCTTCCACGTCCTCGTACTTGTCACCTGCAGCATCGCACTCCTCGCCATGTCCCACAAAGCCGGCACGAACCACACCGCCAAGTACGTCTTCACAGATGTCGACAATACTTCCGGCTGGACACCAACCGGCTGGTCTTTCCTCTTCGGCTTCTTGTCCGTCAGCTGGACCATGACTGATTACGACGCGACCGCGCACATCACAGAAGAGATCCGCGAGCCCGAAATCAAAGCGCCATGGGCCATCTCCATGGCTATGCTATTCACCTACGTCGCCGGCTGGCTCTTCAACATCGTGCTCTGCTTCGTCATGGGCGACATCGCCGAGGTCCTCAAATCCCCGATCGCGCAGCCCGTGGCGCAAATCTTCTACAACGTCCTGGGAAAGAGCGGCGGCATCGTCTTCACCGTCTGCGCCTTCATCATCATCAAGTTCGTCACCTTCACCGCCATGCAGGCTCTCGCACGTACCGTCTTCGCCTTCTCCCGCGACCAGCTCGTGCCCTTCTCCAGCGTCTGGACCAAGATTCTCCCCTTGACCGGCACCCCCATCCTCGCCGTCTGGATCTCCGTCTTCTGGTGTATCGCCATCAACCTCATCGGTCTGGGATCCTACACCGCCATCGCCGGTGTCTTCAACGTTTGCGCCATCGCCCTGGACTGGAGCTACTGCATCCCCATCGTCTGCAAACTGGCTTTTGGCAAATTCGAGCGCGGACCCTGGCACATGGGCAAATTCAGCCCCTACGTCAATGCTTGGGCCTGTATCTGGACGCTCTTCGTGACCATCATCTTTGTCATGCCGACCGCACTTCCCGTCTCTGCTGACACGGTAAGTCCTTGCCTTCTTTCTTCTTCTTCTTCTTCTATTGTATACGTGCTGACAATGCTTCTCCAGATGAACTACGCCGTCGTCTACCTCGGCGCCATCCTCTTCTTCTCCACAGTCTACTGGTTCATCCGCGGCCGCAAATTCTACACCGGCCCCCTGATCGAAGCCGAGATCGACGAGGATTCCTCGCAGGATCCGCGAAGCAGTGATGAGGGCGTCAACGCGAAGACGGAGAAGCACGGCCAGATTATTTCATGAGGTGTCCTGTTTCCCATCAAACGGCCAAAAAATGTTGCTCGGCGATGAAAGTGAGAAATTTTTTTCCCGAAATTTTTTACATGTCAATGTTGTAAGAGAGGACGATAATTTTTTTTGATCTGGGAAAATTTGGCAAGATATACCCAAGCCGATGGTGCTAGTATGTATGTATATTCTACACCGATACGTGCAGTACACGAGTGTTTTGTCCATGATCGCGAGCCCCATCAACTCGCGTACCACACAGTTATGCACCTCGATCCGTCGCGCATGCAACGTGGAAGCGTCTTTGTGATCTTCTCTGATCGCAGTATATGCGCATGGAAGCGACGGTCTATTTGAGACGATGAAGGAAGCAAGTCATCTGAAATGAGCAAGTCCGGATGGGTGATGTATCAAGTTCGAATGAATTGAGAGCATGCTATCGACCTCTTAAACACCGCCATGCGCCCGCACAATGCAACTTGTTGTGTGCAAACATAATCCAATACCTTTCCCATCAGCAGTGACCCGCAGTATCACCGTCCCTGTACCACATTGGCCACCCAAAACGCCATTCAACCGGAGCCTACTACAATACACATCCGAATCATCTAAAAGTCCTCATCAAAAGCAAAGTCGCCACTCATGACCGGCGCGGCGGCTTCAGCAATCCCATCCCTCTTGGCATCGCGCTGAGCCTGCTGCTTGTTGTTCTTCTCCATGATACCAGCTTTCTGGTAGTCACCCACACGCTTCTCGAAGAAGTTAGTCTTGCCAGCCAGGGAAATGTTCTCCATGAAATCGAACGGGTTGGTGGCGTTGTAGTACTTCGTATTGCCGAGAGCGAGCAGCAGACGATCAGCGACGAATTCGATGTACTGGCACATGAGCTTGGAGTTCATGCCGAGGAGAGCGCAGGGGAGAGCATCAGTCAGGAATTCCTGCTCGATGGCCACGGCCTCCACGATGATGCTCTCGACGACTTTCTGGTCGGGCTTGTTCTTTAGATGGGAGAAGAGCAGGCAAGCGAAATCCGTGTGCATGCCCTCGTCGCGGGAGATGAGCTCGTTGGAGAAGGTTAGACCGGCCATGAGACCGCGCTTCTTGAGCCAGAAGATGGCGGCGAAGGAGCCGGAGAAGAAGATACCTTCCACAGCGGCGAAAGCGATCAGACGGCAGGCGAAAGTGGAGTTTTTATCGCTAATCCATTTCAGTGCCCAGTCGGCCTTCTTGCGGATGCAAGGGATGTTCTCAACGGCGTTGAAGAGGTATGTTCTTTGTCGGGGCTCGCTGATGTATGTATCGATGAGGAGGGAGTAGGTCTCGGAATGGATGTTCTCCATCATGATTTGGAAACCGTAGAAGCATCGCGCTTCTGGGATCTGGACTTCACCGCTGAATCGCTCGAGGAGGTTCTCGTTCACGATGCCGTCTGAGGCGGCGAAGAAGGCGAGGACGTGTGAGATGAAGAAGCGCTCGTCGTCGTTTAGTCGCTTGTTCCAGTCGTGAAGGTCTTTGGATAGATCAATCTCCTCGGCGGTCCAGAATGATGCCTCGGCTTTCTTGTACATTTGCCATATCTGTTGCAGATGTTAGCTTGATGTGCTGCAGGCTCTTTACGCGTACAGAACACGAAAAGATAATCAAAGACGTGACGCGTACCTCATGGTATTTGATTGGGAATAGCACGAATCGTTGCGAGTTTTCCTGCAGTATGGGCTCGATCTCCTCTCCCTCCTTCGCGACTGCCGACTCACCCTCTTTTGGCACTTCAGGTAGCTCTGGTATGCCCTTGATGGGGACGGCGACCTCGTCCGACTCGTACCGCGCGTCGACAATGTTCTCCTTATCCGCTTGAGCGTCTAGGCAGAGCCTCTTTGCCGGCGACTCCATCTTCAGGTTCTCGAGTATCGATGCGGCCTGTGTGCTCATGTCAGTAACGTGCTTTCAAATCGTGGCGATGGCAGCGTCATGGACGAACCTTCTTCGAAGGCGTGGTCTGGACGCTCATGATGGCTGGTAGTATGTATGCTGAGTGTGTAGCAGTGTGTACAGCAGGCAATGGCAGATGCGAAAGATGGAGGTGAATGCTTTTGTGTGGAAGACAAAGAGACGAGTCGAGTTGAAGTACGAAGTACACGCGTGGACGTGTTTTGCTTGGCCCGAGCGCCCAACGCGTCTGGCGAATGACATAATCGATGGCTGGAAAACACTTCACATCGTTTTTGTCTCTGTCACTTGTCCGGCCATTGTAGATTACATGTATGCATGGGGATAGTGGGATGTACATGCGAAACGGCCTTCTTGCCTGCCAGAGCACAAGATCACGAAGTCACGTGCTCGATCCACGAGACAAGGCCCCAAGACCAGAGAAAGAATGTCCATCATACTACGCTTTTCTCATGACACCAGGAGCCCGCTTCTGAGGATTGCTGTCACTGCTCGTATATACGTAGATTGTAGCTACAGGCTGAAGTTCGATCAAGGTCTTGGCAAAGCGACATATAACCCTCGTCTTCCCGCACGAAGCTGCAGACCAAAACTGCCAGTGTATAGGCTACCAGATGCTCCTCTTCGACACAACGAGCCAGGGAAAGACACGACGATGTGCCGAGAATGTAGTTCCGGATATTTGTGCTCGACTGAGATTGGAGACCTTCCAGGTGACGGATTGTCAGTCAGTATGGTTTGTGCATAGCTCTACTACGCAACCCATCGCGCCTTCCTCAGGCCTGCCGATCGTACCTTCCATCTTGTCAAGCAACGGCTCTCGCACCCAATAGCTCCCGCAATTGACATCTCCTGAGCATCCTACACAAAGGACTTTCCTCTCAAGTCATTCACTCTCAACTTTACGTTCGCAAATAACCTCGACATATCTCACTCTCGACCCGATCAACGATGGAGGACGCGTTCAAGGCCCGCTTTAGTGGTAAGTCAAATGGCGTGAACAAGCAGGCAGGGGGGCATGGCAGTGATGATGGGATGTTCAAGGCAGGAGGCAGACCAGGCACTAATGAAGCAGCACTCCTCTGTGAGGCATACAAAGCTCGTGGGTTTTGCCTCAACGGAACCTGTAAACGCAGTCATACTCGTCCCGAAGGTAAAACACTCCGCCACTTCTACAGATCAAGCCCTCTACTGACTACTTGGCAGATGAGCAGTCGACTGGGAAAAAGCGATACAGCGCCGAAGAGCTCGGAACGATTGGTAGAATCTGCCACGGACGCTTGCCACCCGCTTCGATCGTGCAGGCAATGTTCATGTACGAGCTTCAACGCCAGGCGGATAATGAAAAGCTATTCGATGTAAGTATCCCAACCACAAAACCATTGGTGACCAAGCTGATAGGCCATATAGTCCATGATATTCCAACTTGCCCGTGGAGACGGTGTCACGTATCCGGAGGTCGAGCGTCTCTCAGCGGTGGAGGACGAGATCAAGATGCTCAAACTTCAGTGGAATGCGAAGCAAAATGCCAAGGTCGAGCTCTGCAAGAGGCAGCTTGACGCCCACGAAGACCACTTTAGTATGCTCACCACTAAATTCGACGACATCAAGGCAATCCAGGAGCGACTCAGTCGCCAGAACGGCTACTTACAGCAGCTCGCCAAGACCGTCGAGGCCTGCGAGCAGAAGACTACGACCATGGATGGAGAAATTGACAACGAGCTCTTTAACGCAATGATGATCGGACTCCACCAGCACGATAAGGATCTCGACACCATCTTCGCCGAGCGCGATGCACTCCTCGAGCAGCTCCAGACAAGCAATAACCGCATCACGAAGCTTGAGGACCTGGTTCGCGCACTGACCGGAAATATGTCCCCTTCCAACAGCGCTTCTCCTACGATGACCCAGCAGCTACCTGTGCACACCGCGAGCGGTCAGACGATCAACCTCTCCGTCCCCAAAGGAGCTAGCATCGGCAACAACACGAGGGAAAATCGTGCACCATCGGGCATTCGAAGCTTTACCCCTGGTGAGCAGTGGGCTGCTTAGAAAGCGGTAAGTAACGATATTTCTATCATTCTGTACCGGATCACAGGAGAATACTGACATCCCATAGGCACGTGAATGAGCTCAATGGTGGGAAGGACAACGCAGCTTGACGAGATCAGAATGATGGAACAGGGAGCTCTCCACTTCACAGACCTGGCGTGGGGCAACAAAGGGAGGAGGAACTCGAAGGGTCGAAGGACTTGCATGATGATCTTGTACATCGCCTGTATACAAGTCTATGATGTCCATCCAAAATCTCATGCTGTACAGGTTAGAATGGGGGTATCCGCATGCTTATGACCTTGTCATCCATTGATCGCATGCCCAACCATATAAAGCAAAAGCCCAACATCATCATCATCATCATTACACACTCCCACAGAGCACTGAAACCTCGGGGGGCGGGGGGGGGGGGGGGGGGGGG